AAACCCTAAACCCTAAACCCTAAACCCTAAACTTTCATCCCCCCCCCCCCGAAACCTGAAGCCCTCTCAGAGCTCCTAGAATGCCTCGACTACCAGTCCTCCCTGCAACCCTCACGGTCGTAGCCCCCATAATTGGGGACCCTGCTGCGCCAGACATAGTGCACCCTAAACCCTAAACCCTAAACCCTAAACCCTAAACCCCAAAAACGTGGGGCCGAGCCACACAAGCGATCTAGCCAGACGTCCGAACCTTCCGCGTCGTCGCTGGGGTCCTTGCGGAACTTGCGCGAACGCTACAGCCGGACCCTAGCCTGGGATGTTCCCCCTACAACTAACAGTCCTTAATCGAGACTATAATAGGGGGGCACTCTAGTCCCTGTAAAGAACTCATAGCATGGCAAAGTTTCGGGACTTTGTTTGGGGTGCACGTATGCCCTAGGGTTTAGGGTTGAGTTCGGGTCCTACCGGGGTCTCAGCACTTCGTCAGCCAAGGTTGCGATTGCCAGGTTGATCTGTGCAAGGGTACACTTTCGGGGGGTGACCCTCCAAAGACCAAGCAGCCAAGCCATCTGCTTATCCTAAGGGTCCATGTACCTATATAGGATGTACTTGGGCCTTAAAGTGGCTTTAGGGCCAAAGCATATGCTATGTAGGTGAATGGACCCTTTGGGATTGCAGGGTGCATGAACTTCATCCGTATCCCGGAACCCGAAACCACGCACGATATAACAATTCCTCCCCAAAGCACACCTAAGCCCTCAACCCTTAACCCCCTCCTCCCCGCAACCCTCAACCCGACACCCTACAGCCCAAACCCTGAACCCTGAACCCTGAAGCCTAAACCCTAAACCCTAAAACCTAAACCCTAAACCCTAAACCCTAACCCCTAACCCCTAACCCATAAACCCTAACCCTAGAACCCTAAACGCTAAACCCTAAACCCTAAACCCGAACTATATGCCCTGTTAGACTGCAGCTCCAGATTCCGTGAATTCATGCATCAGCTGTAGGAGCTGCTTGATCAGCGGCTGGGTTGAAACTCCTGCAACAACCCCGAGATCAGGGCTCACGAGTTTCGGCTTAGGGTTTATAGGTTTTATAGGGTTGATAGGGGTTAAGATTTAGGGTGTAGGGTTTACGGTTTCAAGTCTGGGGCCAGGGTTGGGGGGGATGAAGAGAGCTTGAGAAGCTTGAGAATTCGGGGACCCTCGAGGCCCTAAAACCCTCAAGCTTAGGAATTGCTTTCAGGATTGTGGGTTGCCCTAAACCCTAAACCCTAAACCCTAAACCCTAAACCCTAAACCCTCAACCCTCAACCCTCAACCCTCAACCCTCAACCCTAACCCTAAGCCCTCGGAAGCTACACCAACCTCTCCTGCGTTACGTGCCGCTGCGACGGCCTCCGCCAGCATCTGCAGGGGTCGCCTGCACAACCCCGTCTTTCGGGGGAACGCATTAGGGCTGTTGGACCTGGTTCAGGGTTCAGGGTTCAGGGTTCAGGGTTCAGGGTTTAGGGTTTAGGGTTTAGGGTTTAGGGTTTAGGGTGTAAGGGCTCCCCCGAAATAGTAACTCTTGTTCCTCATACGAGCAACAAGATTAACTACAACATACAGGTAGTAACCCAAGAAAAAAAAAGGGGTGCCCTTTTTGGTTTAAAGGGGTGATAAGGGAACCCAAACAAAAAGCATGGCCTACAATGGGTCCTCGATTTTGAATCTGGCCCCGGTATTCGATAAGACGCCCCAAAAACAAGCCCTAAACCCTAACCCCTAAACCTTCGTATGGCACGGGCTTGTAACTCTAAACCCTAATTCCTGAAACCCCCAAAACCTAAACCGGAATTCCTGAAACCCTAAACCCTAAACCCTAAACCCTAAACCCTAAACCCTAAACCCTAAACTCGAAGCGCGCACCAGACTGCGCACCTGGATCTGAGCGAGGCCTTGCTCTGGAGCAAGTAGGAAACCTGGGCTCTGCTGGCAGAGGGTCCTCTCTCCTCGTGGCTTTCCGATGCCCTCACCTTAAGGGTTTAGGGTTTAGGGTTTAGGGTTTAGGGTTTAGGGTTTAGGGTTTAGGGTTACTGTCTCCAACCCGAATTGTGCCCAGACAAGGCTTGTTCCAGGACGACGTAGGCCTAATTATCTTGGGCTGGAGATTGGACAAGGTGAGGGTACCATAGAATCATGGTCCTAAGCTATGGACTACTGATAGTGACATCGCAACAACAGCCTAGATACATCAGGCGCCCAATACTCTGAAGACGATGGCAGCCCACACTAGACTCTCAGCAGGATTGTGTTGTAAGCTGGCCATATATTTGACGTTCAACGCCTCCAACCCAGGCAAAAAACAGACTCTACAGGTTGCGGCGATCACAGGTGCTGAATCACTTCGCCGGCTGCCCATGCCAAAGCCGAAGCTCGAAACAAGCAGTGTACTTAAGCTAAAGAAAGCTGAGTATGGCACAAGGAAGACCGAGAAACCCTAAACCCTAAACCCTAAACCCTAAACCCTAAACCCCCCAAATCCAACATTGCACCTGCAAAAACACACGGCGACTCTGTGCACAAACAGCTCTCCCCAGATATTGCAGCCTGAGCCCTGAGATCTCGACGCTGCCATCGAGCCATAGGGCATTTTGGGGGCGTATGGATGATCCAAAACAGGATCCTACCTACAGTGAACACACCCTGAGCCCCTAAAGCGTCCGTAAACCTTGAACTTCTAAATCTTAAAAAATCCCCTAAAACCCAAATCCCTAAAACCCCCTAAGCCCCAAATCCCCAAACCCCTTGACCCGAAACCCTAAAATTCTCCCCATATTAGGCCCCAAACACCTCAACCCTAAAATCTCCCAAAATCCCCTATAAAACCCCCTAAAATCTCCTAAAATCCCCTAAAATCTCCTAAAATCCCCTAAAATCCCCTAAGGGCAAAGTTATGACGCCCGTCCGAGGCACGACATGCTCTTGCTGCGCCCAGGCTGCGGTCTCCAGAACGGAGTTCGAAACCTTCTTCTTGGGGGCAAGGGTTCCTAAATGAGGTCTGGCAGTGGTTAGGGTTTAGGGTTTAGGGTTTAGGGTGTAGGGTGTAGGGTTCAGGGTTCAGGGTTCAGCTTGCCCAGGGTGGCCGGTCTTCTTTGCTGCACATGCCTACGGCCAGAAAGGTCCTTGCCCAGTTTCCCTAAGGAAGCCTGCCCCCTCCCCTGAAGTTTCTTTTTGCCGCCAGTTCGAAACATCGTGAATGTAAGATGCATCAGTTGCGGGAGAGAACCGGGTCCCTTTGGGGGCCCGGTTTACTACAACGCCCTCAACCGAGCGCAACGAAAGCTGAAGCAAGCTCTCAGGCCTCCGGCCTGGAACTTATGGGCACTCCCTGTCACAACATGACGTCGCAGACCCAAGTAGAGTCCGAGACCTCATGGCACAAAGGACCTCCGAGAGATCGGCAATGCACTACAAAAGACAAACCACACCCACGCCCATAGGCTAGCTGCAATATCCTACTAACCGAAATCGAGAGGTCAGCCATTCGCAACCAATACAGCACCCACGTCCTACAAACGCGTGCTAAAAACTCAACCGGAGGAATCCATGGCAGGATGCTGCATCGATTGCACAGCGCGGCTATTCTCAGGAAAGGGCTCTCGAAAAAAAACACAACTCAAACAAAACAGCCGGACAGCCTTTCATGGCTGCAGCCATGCCACGTGACCAACAACCAAAAGCAACAAACTCGGCTAGTTCAGGAGGACCTCTCAAAGTCCGGTCCGCCCATAGGCTGATCGCATAACCAGGGTCGAGAGGCCGGCAATTTCTGGCATTTGCACCACCTTCTCTGGTAAAGGAAACGGTTTTAGAAATTTAGGGTTCAGGGTTTCGATGGGTTTCGCACGTGCTCCATGTGCTCCTGCCCTGGGTGCTAAACTGTCTGTATGTATCTACGACTCTGCAGGAAGGAAGGGTGCAACCTCTGCTTCCAATATCGGTAGTATACTGTGGCTTTCAATTGTGAAACTTGCCATCGGGCCGCGTGTCGATGCTCCGCCATTCCCCCTCGTAGCGCCCGTGGATGCCCCCGGCCGTGCCTCTCGTTATCCTAGAGCTCCGCCTTGTAGTGCCCAAACCGCCACTCCCCCTCGTAGCGCCCCCCATCAGGCCACGTGTAGATGCCCCAGCCGTGCCTCTTGCCATCCCGCCACTCCCCCTCGTAGCGCCCCCCATCACGCAACGTCTCGATGGCCCAGCCGTGCCTATTGTTGTCCCGCCACAGCCCCGCGTAGCGCCCCCCATCAGGCAACGTCTCGATGGCCCAGCCGTGCCTCTTGTCATCCCGCCACTCCCCCTCGTAGCGCCCCCCATCAGGCAACGTCTCGATAGCCCAGCCGTGCCTCTTGCCATCCCGCCACTCCCCCTCGTAGCGCCCCCCATCAGGCAACGTCTCGATGGCCCAGCCGTGCCTCTTGCCATCCCGCCACTCCCCCTCGTAGTGGCGCCCGTCGTGGAAAATTCGGGTTGCCCAGCCCTGGAAAGCTGCAGCACGGCCATAGAGGTGGTCCCGTGCCTTGGCTGCCCAGAACACACGGCTGACGTAGGTCCGCACGCTGTGGTCTTCTCCAGCGCCCTTGATGCCGCCCAAGTGCTTTCCGTAGACGCGCTCGCTTGTTTCCGGGTCAGGAGCCCGTTCCCGATTGAGGGGTACTTGGGCCCGGTCGGGGGGCACCTCTTCGCCTTCCCGGACGGCCACTGCATGCCCGATAAAACGCGTGGTGACGATGGGCTGGTAGATGTGAAGGTGCGCGTCGTCATCGGCAAGTTGCACCAGCTCGGAAACCGGAATCTCCGCAAGGCCCATCCTGTAAAGGGCAAAATACACGGTCGGCAGGCGGTCGGTGAATCTTTTGATGAAGCGCATACTACCCCGGAAGGCGCGGCACCAGGTCGTTGTTGTTCACGTAATTGGTGCAGTGTTGCCTCATCCATGCCAGTGCCCGGTGCTTCTCAGCGCGTCTTGGACTGTCCAGCTCGTGATCCGGGACGGGCGCAAAGGGCTGGGGCGCTGCCCCCGGTGATGCACTGCAGCCTCTCCCGCAGCAGGTCATACAGGTTCGCATTGTATTTTGGCGCCTCCCTGTACGCCATCATGGCTGCCACCTGCGCCAGTGCACCGCCGAGGCTGTGACCGGTCAGAAGGAAGGCATCCAGGCGTGCACGCCGCTCTTCTTGTCGCAGGCCTGCAGCAAGCTGTGTCACGAAGTCATTGACGTCGATGGCTGCCGACCAGCCCATGTGGACGTGCAGGCCTTGATCATGGAAGGCCCTTTGGTTAAGACCTGCTGCAAAATTGTGCATCCAGTCGCGAAGTGTTTCGGTGCCGCGGAAGGTGATGAGGAAGACCCGGTGCTGGTCCTGTTCGGAGCCCTCCAGAAACCAAGTGGCGACCATGCTGCACATGCGTACCGGGTTCCTCGCACTCGGCTGAAAGCATTTACGATGCTCGTACTTGATCCGGATCTGGCGCTCGTGAACCTCGAGGAGCTCCGGCAAAGGGCGCTTGACCTCGTAGATCCATTCGGCAGTCCGTGCTGCCAGTGCGGTCAGGACGAATTGCAAAACAGCCATGGCGGGACGATCTGCTGCAAGGGCACTAGTCAGCAGGAGTGTTCAAGGTCCAAGTTGCTTCTGAGACGATGGCAGACCAAATGAAGTGCCAAGGGAACTCCATGGAAGGGATAGCTTGCTAAGCTTTCTTACCTCATAAACCCAGGCTAGCGCCCTAGGTGACAGCGCGTGGTATGTGTGGAAAGTGGGCGTGGAGGCTCGAAGTCCAAGTCGTGCCGGAAAACGCCCTAAGAACTCCCTGCTCCTGTTGGGCCGGTGGGTGCGCAACACCCTCCCTCCCCCACACTTGCCAGCCCTGAACCCTAAATCCTAAACTTTAAACCCCAAAAGAGGCCTAGAAGGCCCTGTCGCTTTCTAGAGCCTCTACACATCCTCAAGCGCGAAGATATCTCCCAAGCTACCATTGATGACTAAGATTCTGTCAGAGACGCTCGGCATGGGCAGGCTCAGCAACAGATGCAAGCAAATCAACGACACAAGATACAAGTTGCCAGATCTTCAACCGGTGCCAAAACGCCAAGAATCCTATGATTAATCGCATCCAGTCCCAGGAGTCGGAGACTTACGTTTCAATGCTGCACGGTCGCCAGCCATGGCGCGTCCACGTCGGCACGCGCTTGGATCAGCATTTTCACAATCCTTGGCGGCAGCTGCCAGGATGGTATTGCGTACACCTCTAAACCCTAAGACCCAAAACCTCCAAACCCTAAACCCCAAACCCTAAACCGTCGAAGTAAACGGGGGCTCGTTGTTCTTTCATAGTGAGGAAGCTGACCCATGGTAGGGTCGGGGCTCTGACGCCCTACTTGCAAGCATTGGCCTTGGCAACCCGCCACTGCCAACTTGGGCCACGAACATCCAGGTCTCTGCGTTGCTCGACACGAAGACTTCGACCCAAAACCCTAAACCCTAAACCCTAAACCCTAAACCCTAAACCCTAAACCCTAAAACCCTAAACCCTAAACCCTAAAACTGTGGAGCTCAGCTGAGAAGCTCCACATGGCCCGCATGCGCAGCCGCCTGGAGCGCTGTTCGAGGTCCGGCAAGGACATCCTGTGATGTTGATTGCAAGGGTTCCGAAGCTTCACTGATGTCTTTACATGTTGCTGCTCACGGCTTGAGCTTGCTTCTGAGTTCTGACTGCTTAGTTTCAGGCTTCAGGGCAGGAACATTTTCAACTTGTCAAAGTTGCGCATTGCGCATGGGGATGAGGACTTCTTTCTTGCAAAGCCCCGGGCAGTGCATGCCCATATGCCACACACCACCTTCCAAGACTCACAGGCCCAGCTAGAGAAACCTTCTGCGTAAGGATGTTCGGCTCTATCGGATCGTTGAATCATTCGTGCCAGGCTTACTTTGTACGGGGATTCGGGGGCCTTTGAACTTGACCATAGGGTGGTTGGGCTGTTGGGATGCTTAAAGCGGAAAATTTGCCGCCCACACTGATGGGGGTTTAGGGTTTGACTAGGGTCTAGGATTTACCAAAAGGCTCCTTATTCTAATGTGTGTACTGCAATCATAAGCAACCCAAAAAATAACTACATTGGAGCCTTCCGTAGGAAACCACACGCTATAAACCTTAAACCCTAACCTAAACCCTAAACCCTAAAAACTAAACCCTAAACCCTAACCCTAAACCCTAAACCCTAAGCCCTAGACCCTAAACCCCCCCCCCACGCCACAACAAAGCAAGGCAAGGCAGCCAAGGCGCCGCTCGCGCTCGGAGGAGCTCCTCGACGATGTCCGCGTGCCCGCATCGGGCGGCGCACTGAAGCGCCTCACCAGCGGCCATTGGTTGCAGACCCCCAGGCCGGGCCTGATCCTAAATTCCTCTGAACCCTAAACCCTAAACCCTAAACCCTAAACTCTAAACCCTAACCTTCACCCTAAACAAACCTAATCCAGCTTATGAGGTTGTTTTCTGGTCGCTAACCAGAGCAACACAAACCTTGAAGCCGTGAAGCGTAAGCCACACTCAACAGCCCCACCAAAGGCTTTAGGGTTTCGGTTTTAGGGCTTAAGCACCCCCCCCCCCTCCCCTCCCCCCAAAGAAAAAAACAAAATAAAATACTCTCACTCTCGAGGCAAGTCCTGGACCGTGGGAAAAAACGCAAAAGCAACAACACAGCCTTAAGCTCGAGGAAGCTCGGCAAGTCTTCGAGAAAGCTTTTTTTTAGGGGTTTACTCGGCTTAGGGTCTGGGGATTCGAGGCTCGCCCACCTCCTCCTGCAGATAGGGCATGAGGTCCTGCAAGCCGGATTGAGGTTCAGAACTGAACTTTAGGCTGCGGGATGCGTTTTTGGGGCTGGAGGTTACCGATGCAGATTTTCGAAGAAGAGAGAAAAACCAAAACAAGCGTTCCTCGCGGAAATTGGACGGGAGTTGGTCTACGTTGAGAACGTCGGTGTGGGGGTTTTGCTGTGGATTCCCGCCTAGCGCAACAAAGCTTGTCCACTTTGGAATAAGGAAAAGGGCTCCAAGGTCTCGAACCTTGCTTTTCCACGAGCAAAGGAGTACAAAAGTTGAACTTCATTGTTCCTACGAAATAACGAAAACCAAATAGATTGAAGTTCTCATCCTTTGGCTAAGTAAGGAATGTCTCACCGCCCTAAACCCTAAACCCTAAACCCTAAACCCTAAACCCTAAGCCCTAAACCCTAAACCCTAAACCCTAAACCCTCAACCCTAAACCCTAAACCCTAAACCCTAAACCCTAAGCCCTAAACCCTAAACCCTAAACCCTAAACCCTACCCTAAACCCTAATCCTTGTTGGGGATGGCTCTTGCTTGGCCCTGCCTCCCTGGTGGCGAGGTACCGAGACTTGGAACAGTCCCAGGCTGCTTCGATCTCGTACCTTTCGGCAAGGGTTTAGGGTTTAGGGTTCAGGGTTCAGGGTTTAGGGTTTAGGGTTTAGGGTGTAGGGTTTAGGGTTTAGGGTTTAGTAAACCCCAAACCCCTACTCTAGTCTTGGGTCCTCATGTGCTCCTTCTTAGAATCCGAAAATGTCTGGAGCCGAGCTGTTTAACAATTTGCTTGCGAAACAAGGCCCCAAACAATCCAAGGGAGTAGCCCCCAAGCTGCCCTCGTGCACTTTAGTATACTGTTTGGTTGGAATTAACCCTAAACCCTGAAGGAGCGCCCCTGCCACGAATTCCCTGAGGGAAAAAGTTCATGAATCAGAAAGCCTGGAGCCCTTCAACTACCCAAAGCCACTCAGCCCTCGAAGGTATCCAGAATCATGGCCGCTTTGTGTCATCTGTTTTCAGGCTCGAGGCTGTTGTGGTGCTTTTGAAGCAGGTTGGCCTCTAAAAAAACCAAACTAGATCTCACGAGGTCCCAAGATGGAAAATACCCCACAGACCCCTTTGGGGCTTCGGGCTTAGGGTATAGGGTACTTTAGGGTTTAGGGTATAGGGCACCTACTCTTTCGCGTAAACCGCAACAACCTGAACTGCCGTCCAGGCCGCTCCCCACTGGCATGCACAGCCACCACATGGCCGACGTCCCCTGAAATAGCCGATGCCCTTAAATTAAAGATAGGACTTCCTTTTGTTAGGGTTTAAGGTCTTAGGGTTTAGGGTTTAGGGTTTAGGGACATTCTGTTTTGAGGGTTTAAGGGTTTTCGGGTACTACATAGGAAATAGTTAAGGCATGCCACACGCTTAAAGGGTTTAAGGGGGTTTCAGCTGACACCGTTCTAGGCAGCCTGAGGTCTTATAGGCTTTTAGGCAGCCTGAGGTCTTAGAGGGTTTGGGCATCATAGGGTTTAGGTTCATATCAGGTAATTCCGATGAATCGGCAGTATTCGAAGGCATCGTGTGCGACGGTCTTGCCTTGTTGCACTCTGCCCATCTGCCCTACCACTCTAACTACACCGGGAAAGCTTTTGACTCTGAAACCTAAACCGTTCCACCGGGCCCTGTCAGGCCCATGAAGTGGCTAAATTGGATGTCCAATGCAAAGGATACCCTATGCACCTAAACGCCGAGGACAAGGAATAGCACGAGACGTTCGCAGGGCTTCAATTGTGGGCATGAAGTAATTGTGACAACTGCAATGACCAAACGTTCAGGAGACAACCTATCTTTTGCCTTTGAGTGCTGGGAATTTGGCCTGGCACCAGGATCCAATCCCCGGCGTTGCAGTAGATCGGAGCTTTGACATAGACCTTTTCAAGAGTAAAAAAAAAGGCGTGGGGCTTAGGGTTGAGGGAACAATCCCCCCTCTTGCCTCACCCCCCCGCCCCCCCCCCCCCCCCCTCACACAAACCCTTCGAGAGCCTGCCTCCTCAATCCGAATCCGCAAGTCCCCAAACCCTAAAGAACCCCAAAGCACCAAACCCAAGAAATCCCACAGCAGCCTACTTGCCAGCTTCGGGGATTGAGGGCGAATCAGAAACCTTTGTAGGGTCTAGGGGTTCAGGTAGGGCTTTAAGGGGGGGGTCCGTATATGATTCGAATCAAGCATCAGATGGCAAGAATCGGCAAGAATGGCAACTTCGACGTTGGGCCTTGCACTGGCCTGGTAGTATAAGTACGGGACACCAAACAAACCGCGAAGCTTGAAAACCGTGGTTGCACCCAAATATATATATATATGTATATAAAAAATATATATATATATATATATATATATGTATGCACCATTGTACCCTATGATAAACGGGGTATATACCACGAAGGGCTCATCATCTGGGCCTACCCGCCGTATGCGTCCATATACAGCCGGTCCAGTCAAGAAGCGGTCTCTCCTGGTTGAATCACGTGCCGGTTCTCCAGGAGGGTGGAACGAAGGTGCGGCATGCAGTTGTAGCCTGCAAGTCTTGCCAAAACTCTAGCTCCCAAACCCTAAACCCTAAACCCTAAACCCTAACTCCCCCCCCCCCCCCCCCCCAGCCACAAGGGTGGAATCTCAGATCATCTCGGAGGACAACCCAAAACGCTGAGACTCTGAAACCCCAGAATGAGAACCTGGGAGCTGCAGCATCAAGTTTTAACTCCTCACAAACCGTACGTTTGGCTGGCAGGGCTCGGGATGTCGAGGTTATAAGGGGTTTTCGTCGTCGCATAACGCAACCAAGGGTTTCGGGTTTAGGGTTTAGGGTTTAGGGTCAGCCAAGGAGCGTGAGATGCTGTAGGTGACCTCCCCTGTGTTGACCATGAGAATGTCGTCAAACCGATCGGGCGATTCCTAACGTTTAGGGTTTAGGGTTTAGGGTTTAGGGTTTAGGGTTTAGGGTTTAGGGTTTAGGGTTCAGGGTTTAGGGCTAACAAAAACTGTGACTACGCACGTGCTTAAGCGCTGTCGCAAACTCCCATCACCTAGTTGCTGAGTACCTTGGGCCAAAACAGGTTAACCTTTCAATCTTGGTAGTACTATGTATACCCCATAAGGTTAAGCTTTACCTACTCACCTATAAAGGTCAGGTGCCACAAAAGCTCAGCTCCTCAGGGTTTAGGGTTTAGGGTTTAGGGCCTATAAGGTTAAACTTTTTCAGGCCAAGGCGCCGGGTCCTCCTCGATCGCTTCGACTGCCCCTGACACCCAACGGCTCGGCCTCCTCTCGTCATAGGGCAGCCTCGGTTTGGTTTAGGGTTTGGGGATTAAGGTTTAGGGTTTGGGGTTTAGGGTTTGGGGTTTAAGGTTTGTGGTTTGGGGTTTAGGGTTTGGGGTTTAGGGTTTCTGGCAATGATGCTTGAGTCCTGCGGACGCGCGCCAAAGTCAGAAAAGGGTTTAGGGTATGGGGTTTAGGGTTTAGGGCTTAAGGTCATTAAGTAGCAAATGAGTGAACTGGTACTCTTGACATGGATCGACGGCTCGGCTCCTGCTTGGGGAACTTGCCATTCTCTTCGTCACCCCCAAACAAAGCCAAAGTCAAAAGCCCTGCGTCGAGACACCTTGCACCTCTGAAACCCCAAGCCCAAACCCCTCTTCCCCTACAGTTATTCGACCCTGAACCCAAAACCCTGAACCCTAAATCCCAAGCTCAACGCCCTTTGACCTAAGCCCAAAAGCCCGGTAGACTCCCAAAATCTAATTACTCCCCCTTGTGCCCCCCCTTGCGCCCCCTCTTATACACCCTCTTATACCCCTGTTACATAGCCCACCCTAAACCCTAAACACTAAACCCTAAACCCTATAAACCCTAAACGCTAAACCTTCTGCCCCCCTTACCATTCAAGGCCACTCCAACTCTGAGAGGTTGAAGCTGACCTGGCCACCGACCTCCACGTCCAGGTCGGCGGGCGAAGGTTTAGGGTTTAGGGTTTAGGGTTTAGGGTTTAGGGTTTAGGGTTTAGGGTTTAGGGTTTAGGGTTTAGGGTTTAGGGTTTCAGGTTTGGGGTTTGGGGTTTAGGGTTTAGGGTTTAGGTTTTAAGGTTTAGGGTTTAGGGTTTCAGGTTTCTGGTTTAGGGTTTAGGGCTTAGGGCTTAGGGCTTAGGGCCACCACACTCAGCGAGTGATTGAGCGCCATCTTCAAAACTCATATTCGGAGTGGAAACACCATCCCCAGCAACTCCGGCAAATCATGATTTCGAGAATCTCGGGCGTCCAAGCTCAACGCACTGCCTTAAAGTCTTATAAACAAAGTCTTTAAGTATATGAGGTTTAGAATGTTCAGGGAGCTGTGTAATTTTAGCGTTAGGGTTTGGGAGGTGAAAGGGTTTCAGGGTTCAGACACAGTTGGGCCGGGCTTGGGGGCAGAGGAGACAGAGGCGTGAAACTGCAACAGGATCTTCGCCCCAGAGCCTGAAAAAACATTGTGAATGCAAGCCGCACCCTGAACCCGCCAGAAATCCTCGGCTCAAAGAACCCCAAAACCCCATAAACCCTGTAATTAAGCTTCAAGCCTTCTAGCCCTCACCCGATCCAAAACCATTTGCGTCCTAAACCCTACCAAGGCAAGCACCAAAAAAACCAAAACATGAGGGTTGCCGACTAATGCTCTTCGCAGTACCTTCACTCGTAGCCCTGAGAAAACTTGGGATTTCGGAGGCTTCCCACTTTGAACCATCTGAACCCCTCAGCCCTAAACCTCCTAGCCCTGAAACTCCCTGTACCCTAAGGCGCGAAGCCCTAACCCTACAAACCCCCAAACCCTAAACCCTAAACGCCCTGAATCCTAAACCCTTAACCCTAAACCCCAAACCCTAAACACCCTGAATCCCTAAACCTCCCTCGGCTGACCTGCACGTTGAGTAAGTTGGGGGAGTCCCGGGGCAGATGCCAATCCTCGGGCCAACTTCTGGTTTTTTTTTCACTCCTGCACAGCTGGGGCGAATCCACATCGCAGGGCGATTACGAGGCTTCAACGGGCGTACTACTGTGCAGCCTTCATCCATCTCCCATGAAACCACACATGGATGCAGGCTGCTCTGTTTTTTTGGGTTTAGGGTTTGGGGTTTGGGGTTTAGGGTTTAGGGTTCAGGGTTTAGGGTTTAGGGTCTAGGGTTTAGGGTTTCGGAGGATCGGAGTTGTGAGTTGTCTGTGTTCTTCACACCTACACGACAACCCCAACTTCTGAACCAAACCCCTCAGCCCCCTGCTAAATCTCAAAGGCTCTCACTGAAGCAACTTCGAGGTTTTGTCAGAGAATCTGGGTTTTAGGGTCTATTCTTGAAAAGTAGGCTCTATAGTCATTCTGCCCCCCTCAACCCCAGTTTTTTCTGCGGAGAGGCAAGCCAAAACCCTAAACGATAAACCCGAAACCCTAAACCCTAAACCCCAAACCCTATCCTATGCAAACCTTGGCATGGTTTCTTGGATTCCTGTATAGAAATCCTGCCCTACACTGCCGAGGAAACCGGGTTTAGGGTTTAGGGTTGCAGCAGAGCTTCCAAGGAAGAATGGTGAACGTGGAAGCAGTTGCACGGTATCGATGCGTTTGCACCCATGTACAGGAGGTACTGGACGACGTCCAGATGGCCCCCTTCCTCAGCGAACAGCCAGGATTTGCTCGGATTACCATCCTACTAAGTCCTCGGTTTTGAAACTCTCTGAACCCTACTTTCCGAATCCCCTATCATCACACCCCTCAACCGAAGACACGCGCGTCGCAACCCAAGGGAAGACGAGACTGAATAAATGCGGGCGCGGGCTTCCGTGGCGATGTGTAGTGCAGTCACGTCATGCAAGGTCCTGCTGCCACGGCAGGCTCCGTAGGCTAGCCCATAATGAGTCAGGTACTATTTGGGCCACATGAAGCCCAAAAGGGTTTATGGTTCAAATACCCTAACAGGATGCATAGTAGTGCAGGGTAAAGGGCCGAAATTGTGGGGTTCGTTTGGTCCCGAGCATTTAGGAAGCTCCGTCGAAGCTCTGACATGGTCTTATACCCCCAGCCGTCGGCCTGGAGCAGTTTAGGACACAACCCCGCCACTGGGTTTACCCTAAACCCTAAACCCTAAACCCTAAACCCTAAACCCTAAAACCCCCAAAAACCTGAGCACAAACGACCCCGAGCTTGCCGCCCCGTAAGCTCCTCCAGTCGATGCCCGCTCTCAAGCGCAGCAGGGAGTCGGTGGCACGAAGGTTTCCTGCAGCTGGCTCCGAAAGGGTTTAGGGTTTAGGGTTTAGGGTTTAGGGTTTAGGGTTGAGGGTTTAGGGGTTTAGGGGTTTAGGGTTTGGGGTTTAGGGTTAGGGTCATAGACGCTATACTACCAAAATCACGATTAAGGCAACTTTTTTGGGTGTAGTATACTGTACCCCCCTATAACTAGCCAAAAAAGGAACTACATTGTAGCCTTCAGGTATACAACGCCCTTGGCGCACGAGAAAGTGCAGAAACCCGGAAACCTTAAGCCTGAAAGCCTGTAAACCACAAGCACCTAAACCCGAAAACAGCGCCCAAGCCTACAGTCAAACAACAAAAAGCCTGAATAGCCCGAAGCCCTAAGCTCCCTGGCCAAAGGACTCTCCTATATCCAGAACCCTATCCCTAAATAAACCCTCAACCCTAAACCCTAAGACCTAAACCCTAAACTCTAAGCCCTAAACCCTATTCCTAAACCCTAAACCCTAAACCCTATTCCTAAACCCTAAACCCTAAACCCTATTTCCCTTCTGAGAACCCTAAAAGTTTTGCGGCTCGAGGGGCCCAGGGCTGCGGCTAAGTGCAGCGCCGAGAAGCCTGCTAGGGAGCTTTTCGTCTTGCAAAGCGGAGGGGAGAGGGGGGGGGGGTTTAGGGTATAGGGTTTGGGGTTTGGGGTTTGGGGTTTGGGTTTGGGGTTTGGGGTTTAGGGTTTAGGGTTTAGGGTTTAGGGTTTAGGGTTTAGGGTGGGGGGGCGCGAACTCCAAAAAAAGGGAAATCCTCGCGCGCAGCCTTTGGGAATAGGGCTGGTGTAGGGCTTAAGACTGAGAGATCTGGTCCCATCCTTAAACCCTAAACCCTAATCCCTAATCCCTAAACCTTAAACCCTTTACCTTTTTAGAAACCTCTACAAACTTCGGCCTGTCGTGGTCCTTGCATCCACCAAAGCTTTGCCCAAGGGCGTCTGCATGAAGTCGATCACCTTTCCGGGCGTTAGGGCTTCCAAGCGGTTGAAGGACTTAAAGGGTTAGGGTTTAGGGTTTAGGGTTTAGGGTTTAGGGCTTAGGGCTTAGGGTTAAGGGTTTAGGGTTTAGGGTTTAGGGTTTAGGGGCCTAGCTTGGCGTCATAGGCTGGGCTGCAGGGCTAAAGCTTGGTTCCAAAACTAAACTGCTATTTCGGAAGCAGAATCGATCGCGGCTCAAACGCATAAGTCGCAGCCAAGGCTTAAAATCGAGCAATGCTAGAACAGTCTAGAGAGGGTTGAAAATTAGAGGTCTTGCTAAACATTCACGATGGAGCTCAGGAGCTTCTCTCCGTCTCTCCACATTCTGAGGGCGGTGCGCGAGCAAAACACATTGCCAAAACTTCTCGAAGATTCCTCCAGCCAAAAAATCCGCTTGGACAAGCATGCCTGCAGCCCGAAACAGTACTGGACATTGAACTACCTAGCAGAAAATTATGCGAAGCACATTGGAAAACGGTCGAGTGATCCCTAAATCCCAAAACATGTAATACAGGGGCCAACTCTTCCAGTCCGGAGGCCCACCTCCCAGTGGTCCACTCTGCCGGCGATATGTAGGATGGTCTCGTCGTACTGGGCCATGGCCTAGGCATCGTCTTGCGCGCAGAGCTTGATGTAGGGTTTTAAGTTGAGAATGACCGCATGTGATCTTAAGATCCGCAGAAACGATATCTATTCTGAATCTGATGACCCTCTCCCCCCCGCCTCTCCGGCCCCCAATCGAACTAGACACTGCATGCACACTCTCGGCGTCTAATCTCCATCAACTCGACGCTGACCTCTTTAACCGCGTTGTCACAAAGATCCATGGCTTCAAGTCTTTCTGCAAAAGGCTTGTCACCCCCCACCCCCCCCCCCCCGGCCCCCCAAAACAACTCGTGGCCACTCACTATTCACCAAGCTGCGTTGACCACCACACCCCTGGCCTCGCGCAACAGCCACTCGCACACCTGTGCTCGGCCACTGCACTGCGCTAAGCTCTACATAGGGTTTAGGGTTTAGGGTTTACGGTATATTCTACTTGGTTTCGGTACTTCAGATTGGGCGAATCACATGGGTTGCGCGACACTGAAAGCAGTGCCCGTGGGTGACTCAATTGCTCTGAGAGTTACGACAAATGTCATCAACGTTGGACCCTCTGCCAACCAAAAAACACACAAAAAGGGAGACACAAGTAATCAATCAGTTTCTCTTTTTGAACCCCCAGCCCCCGACCTGAATTGCATTTTGAACATCCCAAGCCTCAGTACTCTGGTCCTCGACGGCAATGTGCCTGGGGCTTCAGAGGCTCAGGGTGTAGACTTTCCGCTATTTATATACAGGGCCGTTTCAGGTCCAAAACCCCTAAGCTCTAAAGAAAGGCGGGTGCTTCGGACTCAACATGAAGAAATTCAAGGTTAAGGCATTCTGGTCTGCTAGGTTTTTGTGGGAGGGAGGCAGTCATAGTCACTTTGCACCCATCAAAGAGAAACTGATGCATCGCTTTGCGGTTGTCTGGAATTCTTCTAGTATAGCACCTTAAAGGTACTGAAAGGAGCCGCTGGGAAGGAAGGAGGGGAGGCGGGGAAGGAAGGGAGGAGGAGAGACTCCCAGGTTGTAGGGGCGTCTGCGCTTTGGGTTTAATCAGGTGTGTTTTCTTTGTACTGTCAGTCTGCCATCTCTCCAAACAGCAGATCACATCTTTCAGCCCAAACCAAAAACACCCGAAACACCCTAAACCCCCAGACCCAGAACCAGCAAAAGCTGGACCCGGAAATCTCATGCAACCCAAAGATCCGAGTAGCGCTCTCAGATCACGAAGCCCTTCAAGCCCTGCTTGTCAACAAGCCGAAAGACCTTTATACCACCTACCCTATAGGACCCGAAACCGTAAACCCTGAACCCTGAACCCTTTGCCACTTGACTGAAAAGGCAAGCCAGAACCCTGAACCTTCAACCCTGAACCCTCAACCCTGAACCCAACCCTAAACCCTCCCCCCCACCCCCCCCTCGCCCCTTCAAATTCACACCGAGGCTGCAAGGCGGTGAAGCCCCAGAAGCTGCACTTGCAGGGGTCAGAGTTCGCCTGGAGCCTGGGCTCCATGGGCTGAGGAGACCAAATACACGCGTTTTTAGTTCCACATGCAACAGTAAACCCCAAGCCCTAAACCCTAAACCCTAAACCCTAAACCCTAAACCCTAAACCCTAAACCCTAAACCCCCGGAAGCCCCCAGCTTTGATTGCACCCAAGAAGCAAGAAGCGGGCCACCTCGACATGGCCCCCACTGCAGGCGGCCATAAAAGGCCTGGGGTTTAGGGTTTAGGGTTTAGGGTTCAGGGTTTAGGGTTAGAGGTTTAGGGTTTAGGGGTTTGGGGGGTTAGGGCTACAACCCTAAACCCTACACCGTAAACCCTATACACCCTAAAATTCGAAGGGAATAAAGGGAGCACTGCGTGTCCGAAAGAATGCGAGGTCGAGCAGCGTCAAGCAGTCGCCATCGAAGCGGTCCAGCCGGGCACCTGGTCTAAATCCCCCTTAATAAAAGGTTGTTTTAATAATACCTTGGGTCGACCACGATGCATGAACATACATGTGTATATGTACACAGACATACATGTATAGATAGAGAGAGAGAGAGACGGTCTATGTGTGTGTGCATGATCATTTGCAGAAGATCTACGCTTACAGCATTGGTATGTTTTCAGAAATTGTTGCGAGGATTGCAGCTCAAGAGCCACTGCGGATTCTGCACAACCCACAAACTTTCGCCCCCGTTCCTAAACACTAAACCCTAAACCCTAAAGGCCAATGTGGTCCCGTTTGGACTGGCATGGCATTAAATGTGGTCGATGTTGAAACATGCCTTGAGGTATGGGATGTGTCTTTCTTTCGTTGCGCGTGCGTGCGCTACACTCCCTTGTCAAGCGACATGGAAACATTGTCCGCGTGGGCATGCCCAACGCACGTGCCTCCTACATGAAATGTGCACACTGTCCGTGCTCAAGGCACCCTCCCAAACAGTCCAAAACCATGTTGCGAAGCGCAAGGCACCGTGGCAGTCGCGTGGGCATGGTGTCTCCTTTCCCCTCCCCTGTTGAAGCCTTATAGATCCTCTAAAAAATGAATCCTCGAGCTTTGGAGTTTAGGAACTGAGAAGTGCAGTAGGCTTCGGTCTGCCACACTCGTGGAAAGAATAAATTGGCGGGGCCTGCTGTCGGCTTACTGGCTTCGCCTCTGCACTCAGTAGTTCCTTTCGGGGTCAGTTAGTTGCCCCATTTGCGTCAAGGCGCGCATCTCTGCGAGGTACTGGACAATCTCTAAATGACCTCACGGCAGAATCACACGCACGACATGGCGCCCGCCCGTAGCTGCCAAGCGCACATCCCAACCAATTTTACAACCAGGTTTGTAAAATTAACTCACGTGTCGCAGCCCCACTCCCCTCGCCATCTCACTTTAGACTTGCGGGACCCTAAACCCTAAACCCTAAACCCTAAACCCTAAACCCTAAACCCCAAACCCCAAACCACTTCGGCAAGTGGAGCCACAAGTCCGTCGACGGCTCTTCTGAACACCTGTAGGATTACCCCTAACCGTAAACACTCAACCCTCAATACCCTTAAAACCATAAACCCTCAAAACTCTAATTAAACCAAAGGTGTTTCAAGGTTACCTACTCTCCTATGTGTAAGACCCATCTCAGCCCGCCTTCGAATGCTGCAAGAGACAACGGGGCAGCGCCCTGAAGAGTGCCAAGGCAGGTTAGGTTTGAGGGTTGAGGGTCGAGGGTCGAGGGTCGAGGGTCGAGGGTTGAGGGTCGAGGGTTGAGGGTTGAGGGTGCCTGGGAACCCGCCCAGCTGACCCACTCAGGACCACTCTAGGGTAGGGCTTCGGGTTTAGGATTTGGGGTTTGCGGTCTAGAGGTTGGGACCTAGAAGCTAGAGTTTGGGTTTTTCGGGGGGTGAAGCGGGGAACAAGGGGGGGCCTCCGAGCGCGAAGCTTGTTCTAAAGACTCCAAGCAAGGCAGGAAAACTGAGAAGACTGGCCTGGAAACAGTAATTTCAAGTCGAAAATGAGACATAGTTGGGGCATTTGGATCACCTCCCAAGCTCAGTTCGTTGATGGGTTTCCCCACCACCCTAGGTTCCCCCCAGAAAAATAACTGTCATTAGGTTAGGCTTATAATTATCCCAAAATCGTTTTTTCAACCAGGGTAAGCGTAGGGGGGGGGGGGGGTAGTAGGGGAACCCATGATGCGTTCACTCACATTCATGCTGACCGTTCGCTGGGAAGCGGCCGTACAACAGCAACTAAGAGCCACGCATCTTTGCTGCGACAACGCACGAAATTAAGGCGTAAGTGCGATATTTCCTCTTTGCAGAACAAGATGAGCCTGGCCGGAGTCGTCTCCCTTCTCCACTGTCTCCACCTTTCAAAGTCAAAGGAGTAACGCGCTTGCCCGATTTCACGGTTGAGCATCTCAGGTCTTATTGACGTTAGCTTCGGGGCCCGAAGGCTTTGCCGAATTCTGGGCTGAGGCTTGCTAGGATGGCCCTTAAAACCCTCCGAAAAACATTCCTGAACATGATCCTCTCAAACCCAGAAATAAACATATGAAATGACCCAAGGGCAAGCGCCTACCGAGCTGGAAGGGGGAAGGGAAAGCCACCGAGCTGGAAGGGGGAAGGGAAAGCCACTGCGTCAACCTAAAGTGTGACTCAAGCTGCTGCGACCTAAACCTCAAACGCTCGGCAAGGGTGAAGTCAGGGTTTTTGGGGCGTCTGAAGTCGGCTTTCAGGGATGGTTCGGGTTTCAAGGACCCTAAACCCTGAATCCTCCACCCTCAGCCCTAGACCGCAGGTGTCAGAGGGTGCAAGCGGCGACCCATAAATGCTCTGCACTTCGGGGTTGGGACAAGTCGGAATGGCCTGCCCTTACCATGCTAAGTATAGGTATATAATGATTATAATGGCCACACACCAGACTCCCTGCCCTTAACTCTCTGGGGAGCTCTGGATTTGAGCTTCGCCACATCAGCCCGGGATTCGACAAGGAATCGCACGATCTGCGTGTGGCCTTCCTGGGAGTCGGAAGGAGCTCATGTACTCAACCCCATAAACCTTCTCCATTTTCAAAACCCCAAACCAAAACCCTGTTGCAAGATTCAATTTTTTCTTCTGGGACCCGAAGCCCTCAACCTTTTCCCTAGGAATTCAACCCTAAACTCTACACCCTAAACCCTGAAAAACCCGCAACTCTTCAGGTGTAAGGGCTTGGAGTTTTAATTGATTCTAGGGTGAAGAAGCTGTATGCACTGGAAGCATTCGCAAGTATTCTTCGTGAGATGAGACTTGATGAAGCTTGCAGGCTGCTTGGGGTTCATCTCATATGGAAACTTTCACAAGAGACTTCTCTATAGAAGGAAGCCACCCAAAGGAACCCGATGTGCAACGCTTTAAGGTTTAGGGTTTAGGGTACGAACACTCAGCCTCGCACAAGGCAGGCAAGGTTGAGCTATTGTGGATGCGCCAGGTCCATGCAAAGTGTCGAAAACAAAAAGTGTATCTGTATTTAGGGTGCTTTATCAGACCTTCGCTCTTGAGCTGGAGTGCCGTAGTTTGCCATTTCCGGATCCTATACCTTTCCGGTTCTAGAAAAGTGGAGGAGCACGCGTTGGCTGTGACCAAAACTGCATACATCGTGGAGAAAACACCTGGTAGACAGTGACTGATGCTAGATCGATGGAGAGAGCTTCGACGGTCCAAGTTTCAGTGAAAACTTCATGAAACTTGCAAAATATCTTTTGGGCTCCGTCGATCGACTCCACGCCCACATGCAGAGATCGAACTTCTCGCCCAGCACGCAGGAGAAATCGCGCACTGCCCAGAACGGCGTGATTGGAGATCAATCTTGCGTAACCTCATCCATCGAGGCGATCTGTCCAGATTTGCAATGACAGAAAGGGTTGGCGCGGCAAAGGGTTCGCGCAAGCCAACTGAAACTGCTCCATGACGCCAGTTCGTGCAAACACCCACAAAGAAGCCATTTGTTTGACTGAATCATTGCCCATCAATTCCGGAGTGTCGACGAGTCGACGAACAAGTCACAGTCTCGCCAAAGCTCCGGTTGGACTGTTTCACCAGCAGGTGCCCAGCATTCCCAGATAATGAGGACTGAAAAGTACCTGGGCTTCGGGACGCATCCCTTCTGGACACGTCGTCCACACACGCGCCCGGAGCGGTCTTCCTCAAGGTGGAGCAAGTGGGAGCGGTATGTTCGGACCGGCGGCTTATTGAAGGTTCTCCTGGAATGTGGAACTTCTGGATGCTTCATGGTCCCGTCTGCTGGGGCACTTTTGTCCACTAGCATGACGACAGGCCCTGTGTCCTCCCCGTTCTGCCCCTCGCCGCCCTCCATGTCTACATCGTAGACATCATCCTGCGATCGAAAGAACACAACCACAAATCGATAGAACCCAAGCAGAAATCGAAAGAACCCAACCAAAAACAGAAAGAACCCAATCAGAAATTGACCACTCGACCCTGGATTGACCTCCACAGCCACGACGGCATCGTAGTGGAGCTCTGGGATGAAAGAGACATCCAGGAAGCAGCAGTGGAACTTCGTGAGGAAACTGTTCTGCAGCTGATCCTCCTGTGTAATCACGCGCAAGCTCCAGATCCAGGAAATGAGTGTCGTTCGCAGCTTTCTCCGACAATTGACTTAAGGAACCCTGCAAACACCAAGGATATAAATGCAAGACTTGCTCATCCAGTGTCTACACGGTCACGAAACATTAGCAGGCGATGAGGCACCGGAGACTGACGACCATCCTCGAAGAGTAAATCTTCAAAAGTCGAGGCCAAATCAGAGCTAGCCGGCATCAGTGATATCGAGTCGGAGAGATCTTGCCTGGGACTCTCACCAACGCCCTCTAGATCTCCGACATCGCCTGGGAAATCGTTGTGAACAACGTCGGAGCTGGTGCCGAAGAGCTCTTACACGCTTCTACCAGCTTGAAGCAGTTAATGCCAGTTTGCCCTTCGGCTGCGCTGGCGATACCAGCATCGCCCAGACACCCTTCTATGCGCGCAGCATATTGTCACGAAGGATACAGCACTGATGATGGGCCCTCGTGAAGGTAAAACATCCTCCAATACATGCGCATGCTGCACAGCGGCCATCATTGGAAGAGCATGCGCGACGAAAATACGCGATCCAACATCATCAGCAATGCCGGGACACTCGGCCCCCAGCATGCCAAGTCAGAAGTATGCAGAACTTCGCGAAAGCTTCTCATCTGAATTGTGCGGGCGGGGGTTCCCGGTACGCGCAGATTGGGAAGGGGTGCAAGAGCGCCCGCGTCACTAGCCTGGGCTCGGGGGAGTGGGAGAGCCTCTTGAACTGTGAGCCCCCAAAGACCTGCGTGTAGAGTTCCATCAAGAACCCACTCACGGAGTCGTCGTCCACACTGTAGTCCGATTTCATGCCATGAATCCACGGAGCACCAAGATCGAACATGGTGGAAGTGAGCAACTGCGGGGCCTTGGTATCCATTGCCTGCTGCGTCTTAGGCTTGCATGAGTTGTACATGCAGGTTGTCAAACGCGACACCTCCTGTCAGGGCGGTGTTGTTGGGATCAGAGAGAAGCGATGCGAGAGCAGTCACCAGGTTGCCTTCCCGAGCCATCTGGCTCAAACTCACAGAGTCCCCTGGTATGGAGATACCGCGAATTGAGGATGTTGGTAGTTGTCTCTGGGGCATGTGCCTCAAGGCTTGGGAGAACCTTGAGCCAAAATGGCGGTTCGGGGTTAGGGGTTTAGGGGTTTAGGGTTTAAGGTTTAGGCTTGGGGTTCACGAGCCCATTAAATTAAAAAAGGACGCCCCAATCGGAACTCGAAGCCCTTCTGCAACAGCCTTGGAAGCAGCACCCACACCCTGAACTGTAGACACACTTGCTGACTCTCAGACAAGCGCTTCCATGAAGAGGCAATCTGCCTAAACCCTATAAGAGCCTACCCTGGGTCCACGTTACAAGTTGGTTTAGGGTTTAGGGTTTAGGGTTTAGGGTTTAGGGTTTAGGGTTTAGGGTTTAGGGGCCTACCCTGGGTCCACGTTACAAGCTTTTAGGACGGGAGTGGGTCCTGCGCAGCGAGGTGTAACGGCTGGAGCTCGCGCTCCTGGAAGCCGAGGTCGATGCGCGTTGAGGCACATCTCTTGGGATGTTCCCCCTTGTGCCGGGTTTAGGGTTTAGGGTTCAGGGTTTAGGGTCTAGGGTTTAGGGTCTAGGGTTTAGGGTTTAGGGTCTAGGGTTTAGGGTTTTGGTACAACAGTTCCTTAAGAGGGATTGTGCTGGGGGGGGGACTATAGTCCCTATCAAGGACTGTTCGCAAAAGGCGGAAAATTCCCAACACATCTCTCGTACTTGCTTCGCATATAGGCAGTGATCAACGGGAAACAGAAGACATAGCGTTTACCTAGATTCTTTCCACTTGCTTTATTGCGGGCTGGCGTGTTGTGGGGATAAGGCGCGAAGCAACTCGTGTGATGTCGGCAACTGCTTTGCAATGTGAAGCTGCGAGTGGTCACCCCCCCCGCCCCCACCAAGCGGTTTAGGGTTTAGGGTTTAGGGTTTAGGTTTAGGGTTTAGGGTTTAGGGTTTAGGGTTTAGGGTTTAGGGTTTAGGGCAACAAACAACAAATTCATTTCGGAGGGTCAGCTTCGTCGCAGGCAGAACGCCGTCAACCCGGCGTCATGTAGAGCCCGAGGCCCCTGCGGCAATGTTCACGGGGCAGCTCCACTCCACGAGAATCTGCAGTATCTGCAGATTCCCTTGCAACCTCGGAGCAAACCCTAAACCCTAAACCCTAAACCCGAAACCCTAAACCCTAAACCGCTGGACGTGCTTCCTGGCCATTGTCTTGCTTTGTGTTTGTGCTAAGCTGCGAAGCTTCAGTTTGGCCTTGTTATGCCTTGCCACTGCTTCTCCCACAATATCACTGAGGCTTTAGGGTTTAGGGTTTAGGGTTTAGGGTTTAGGGTTTAGGCGATCCCGAGAATGCTACGCTCATCAACACCTACTGTCATCTGCAGCGTGCCTCAAAGGGTCTGAGAGACAGGCACAGGACTCGGCATTAGCTGGCCAAAGAACCCCGTCCAAGCCTCATCAAAGCCTACACCCCTCCTCCATCAACCATGGCAGGGTTTAGGGTTTAGGGTTTATGGCCCACAGCAGCACTCTCAATGCAAAGCGGCCGACTGGCCTCTACCGACCCGAAGCCCCCCCACCCCCAACGCTAAACCCGAAGTCCTGAACCATAACTGAACCATAAATCCTAAATCCTAAAGCCTAAACCCTGAATCCTAAACCCTAAAGCCTAAACCCTAAATCCTAAACCCTAAATCCTAAACCCTAAATCCTAAACCCTAAATCCTAAACCCTCAATCCTAAACCCTACATCCTAAACCCTAAATCCTAAACCCTGATTGTCAGGGAGCGCTGATTCCATCAGTTGGTCGACCATCCACTCTAGCTGACCTGCTTTTGAGCATATAGGGCCGAGGAGGATACGGATTTAGGGCTTACGGTTTAGGGTTTAGGGCTTGGGGTTTAGGGTTCAGGTTTTAGGGTTTAGGCTTTAGGGCCCATATACCCATTTGTTAGAAGGTCGGGGGTTCAAATTCTTGGCCCTTGGGAGGCCGGAGGGGCATCAGACAGTTTTCGGCCACAAGGACTTGACGCCAGGACCCTTAACCCTAAACCCTAAATCCTAAACCCTAAACCCTAAACCCTAAACCCTAAACCCTAAACCCTAAACCCAAACCGCGCGCTTGTTCGGCAGCTTGGCACGCCCTTTATTAAAACTGATAGGGTTCTTGCAGGGCTTGGGGCAGGTTGGCTGGGCTCATAGGGCTTGCAGTCTCAACCCAAAGGGTTTAGGGTTTATAGGGTTTAGGGTTTAGGGTTCAGGGTTCAGGGTTTAGGGCTTTAGGGTTGAGGGTTTTAGGGTTTAGGGTTAACGTAAAACCCCCAGGGCAGTAGCGCCCGCACCCCGACCTTGACCCGGGCGCTGGAGCCCAAAGAGGAAGCGCACCACGGGCTCGGATTTGTTCCTGCTGCGTTTGTGATTTATGGGTTCAAGGTTCAGGGTTTAGGGCTTAGGGTGTCGGGTTTAGGGTTTAGGTGTACTACCCCCCTCGACAGTACCAACCCCCCCCGCCCCCCCAGGTTCCCCCCATAAGGTTATCGAAGGGGGGAACCTAGGGGGGGTAGTATAGAGGGGAACCCATGACGCTTGGGGCTTAGGCTAAAGACTCTGATGTGGTTCTTTTGTTGGGTTAGTGATAGGTATAGGGGGCTATAGTATACTACACCAGCAAGGGGTTTAGGGTTTAGGGTTTAGGGTTTAGGGTTTAGGGTTTAGGGTTTAGGGTTTAGGGTTTAGGGGTACTATACTTTAGGAGCCTGCAGGTAACTTGGGCCTGTTTGGGCGTTCGGGGTGTAGGGCGCGTAGGGCATGCGGCGATACGAGTACTTAAGATCCTCCGCACTTACGGGCATCCAGGACAAGTAGAGATGCAAGATCCTCCACACTTCAAGGAATCTGGGCGGCCAGGGATAAACACGTCCTACGCCCTCGCCTTCTATCTCCTCTCAACCCTTCTCTCCCAAACAGCCGTGCATAGGAAGTAGATCCGAAACAATCAGGTCCCAAAACCCAAAACTTAGCCACAAAGCCCTACAAGCCATAACAAAGTCAAGAACAAACAACCTCAGAACTGAGTCCCAAGAACTCCAGATCCCACCACCTTGCTGCCGCTCTAAGAAGGCGCGGCAGTCCTAACCTAAACCCTAAAACCTAAACCGTAAACCCCAAACCCTATAAACCCCAAACCTCAAACCCCAAACCCCAAACCCCAAACGCTAAACCCTAAACCCTAGCAGTCCTACACAAGGGGCAGCTCAAGGCTTTGGAGGCTGCCAGGCAGTCGTTGCAGAAGACGTGGTGGCCTCTCGCTTTAAGGGTCGTAGGGTTTAGGGTTTAGGGTTTAGGGTTTAGGGTTTAGGGTTTAGGGTTTAGGGTTTAGGGGAATTCGAAGCTCAAGTTGACCACCATGTAGGGATCTGGTAACTGAAGTAGGAAAAGGAATATAGACTAAAGACTTCTGGTAACTCAAGCTAATCAGTCAAGAGCCCGGGGTTTTTTGATGGGGAGATGTTCTCAATAGGGTCTCCTTGTAGAGACTCTTCGACAAAGAAGCACATTCTGCAAAGGACCCCGCTCCCCCCAACCCACCCCCACCCCTGTAAACAATCGGATGCAAATTTAACTTCACGTATGCTGGATTTAGGTTCTAAGGCCTGAACCCTAAGCCCTGAAACCTAAGCCCTAAACCCTAAACCTTAAGCCCTAAACCCTCATCCCTCAACCCTAAAGTTTAGGGTTGGGCCTAGACCCTCAACCCCGAGTACAGTTTACAGCAGGCTTGGGGCTTGTGCACGCGTAGGGTTGTGGAAGACGTGGCGCCTCATCGTCAGGACTGCAACAAGCAAAGACGCAGCCTGTATTTACTTGTGTACAAATTGCGGCGCCTAGACATCAAGTATCCTTGGGCCCTATCAAGATGATGATGATGATGATGATGATGATGATGATGACGGTGATGACTTCTCATTCTTGCTATTCTTTCTGGCATTACCGGGTACTAAAATGCTTTACAACATCTCCGTCTGACGACGCTTGACTAAGTGCCTCACGTCTATCATTTTTGCTTAAGGTTGAGTTCCTTGATTCACGACAGCTAGCGTGATGTCAATCTATGGAGTCTGACTGATGTTTTTCGAGCTTCCACGTCGAGCAAGACTCCGTCGATGGCCCCCGAAGCCGAACACCTTGCCCTTTCCATCCGCACCAGCCTTGTTTTCCGACGACGACTGGAGTGCTAGAGAACCAGCTTCCGCAAAACAAGCCCCATCCCCTTCAAGCACCCGCCCCCTCCCAAACAACCCACCCCTTCCCAAACAACCCCACCTAAGCCCTCAGCCCTCAGCCCTCAGCCCTAAGCCCTAAGCCCTAAGCCTAAAGCCCCAAGCCTAAAGCCTTAAAGCCTAAACCCTAAACCCTAAACCCTACCACCCCCCCCAACAAGAAAGGCCGTAGGCTCGACCTGGACATGGACATATCACCGGCTGTGTTGGCCTCGGCCGTATGGTGGGCTCGCGGGGGCTTTCTTAGGGTTTGGGGTTTAGGGTTTAGGGTTCAGGGTTTGATCATTCAATGTAGGGGTCATGCCCTGGAATCAAAGGGCTGGAGCTTGCGGTAACCTACAGTCGTTGTAGGCTTGCTGGGAGGGCGGAAGGGCCCACGGAGAACCCCCTGAAACCCCTCTACTTGGAGGTTCATGGGGACTTATGAACCCAAACATGTCTTACTTATAACCGACCTAGGGGACTTAGGGGGCTTATAAGTACAGTTATATTTGGGGTTATCAGTACCCTGAACCTCCAAGTACCCCCAAGCAGAACCCCACACCACATGCAACCCAAGATGCTCATCTTCCAGACAAATGGGGCACATGTCCTGGCAAAGACAAGCACTTTGGGGCCATGGGCTCCAAGAAGTTACTGGGAGGTTCATGGTACTTTTGAACCAATGAAAAACAGAACTTCTATCTGTACTTATGACCATGTTAGGGCACTTAAGGGGTGTAGAAGTGGGTTATAAATACAGTGATAATTGGTTAATGAGTACCATGGACCTCCAAGCAGGTCTCGGAGTGTCTGTGCGCTTAGTTCAGGGGTTTGGTAGGGGGGGGGGGGGGGGGGGGGGGTTTAGGGTTTAGGGTTGAGGGTTTAGGAAGATTCTTGGTCGTCATGAGAATCGGGGTGTACAAGCTTAGGAAGCAGCCATCTCAAAACCGCAAGCTCAAACCCTAAAAGCCCCAAGCCTACTGTTGCAGTTCCCAGAAAAAGAACAAAAGGCTTTGCCTGCAAGATTTTTGGATAGCTCCATGGCTTTGTATTCTGAGCACAATGTACCCAAAAAAAGGATTACATGTTCACAGGCTGCTGAACCACGAACCCTGAGCCAGGTCCTCATCATGGCCGCTGTTTTCGCCGGACATTGGGGTTCGCGTGGGTCGAAACAAGGGCAACTCAGAGAAGGGCAGGGTTTGGATGGAGGGGGATGGGGAGAGATGGCGGCTGGTTCAAGGCTTGGTTCGGACTGTGGGTCTGATGTTCGAAAGAAGGCCGGTGAAAGCTGCCGTGCACCCTAAACCCCAAAGGCCCTAAACCCTAAACCCTAAACCCTGCACCCTAAGGCCCTAAACCCTAAACCCTAACTCTTCCACTTTGGCCATGTGAAGCTTTGGGGGTCTTGACATTCCACTTTCAAACGTGCGGCTGGAACTCGAGCCTTGGTCGTGGAGAGAAGGGTTTAGGGTTTAGGGTTTAGGGTTTAGGGTTTAGGGTTTAGGGTTTAGGGTTTAGGGTTTAGGGTTTAGGGTTTAGGCTCTACAAGCATTTTCACCTACAGTGTTAAGTCCTTTTCCTCCAAAAACACCTTGTTCCAGGCCACTAAGGGCGTGCGATGTCGTCGTGGGGATCGCTTGAGGGATGAAGACTCAGCTGCAAAGTGCGGATGCTCTAAGAGGGTGCCGATTTTGTTCTTCTTCTTTGAAGGGGCCAATTAAGGGTTTAGAAAAGGGAATAAGGGCCTACTTCGGGAACTAAATTATGTCACGACATCGGCTCCCCATTCTAAAGCCCCCTTGTGTGATGCATGGACTGACCGGTGGAAGCATGGCCAAAACTGCCCCGAAAACCCCAAACCCTAAGCCCTAAGCGCTAAACCCTAAGCCCCTTCTCCCCGAATCCTCCCAAAACCCTTGACACAGGCGACATGTCCCGCATTTTGGAGACGAAGTGTAAGGACTGCCATGACTCAGAGACACACTGAAGGTCTAATGGTTTTAAGGGATTTGAGGGCATTTTGAGGGTTTTCCAGGGATTTTGGGGCTGTGAGGGCTTTCTGGGTGCAGCGTTAAAGGGTATTGAGGGTTCTGGGAGTCTTGGCTTGAGGGAATTTGGGGGTCAAGGTGTAGGGCAGGGAGGCTTGGGGGTTTAGAGTTCGGATTTGAGGTTTAGGGGCTTTAAGGATTCACCCTAAACCCTAAACCCTAAACCCTAAACCCTAAACCCTGGGTTCTAGCAGGGTTTTGAGTCTACAGGGCATGTGTGTGGGGGAAGTCATATGGCGGCACATTCGCCGCTCAGCGTTGAATTTCCAGCAGCTCCACGTCAAAGACCACATCCTCGCGGGGTGCCATGACAGTTTGCACTTTAGGGTTTAGGGTTTATAAGGTTTAGGGTTTAGGGTTTAGGGTTTAGGGTTTAGGGCTTCATGTCCAACCCAGAACTCCAGGGCAGAACCGCAAGTAGACCCTTCGAGCCATATAAGCGAACATAACTCAGCCCCAAGCCCTGAACTATAAACCCTAAACCCTAAACCCTAAACCCTAAACCTTAAACCCTAGCCCATCTCGGCTAGAGCACGTCCTTAGGAACTGCCACCTTCACGCGGTCCGACTTCTGGCCATAAGCTAAGTCCGAGGGGATGTGCAGCCGTGCTTGCTCTCCCACCTTAAAGCTTCGGGGTTTAGGGGCGTGGCATCTGGGATTTTGGGATTCTAGATGTTCAGGTGTTGGAGCTTTGGGTTTAGTTGCGACAGGTGGTGTTTTTTGAAATTCCAAAGCCCCGAAACAAGTGCAGGAAATCCAAAAGCAATGCCTACGCCGAAGGCCAGTGATTGCCGAAGCTTCTGACATCCGCCTGACGCCACTGTCAAGGCCTGGAATCACCTGAGTTGGACAGGTTCATGAGTCTAGGCTCCTTGTTGTGTGCCTTCAAGTCTCTGTCGACGGTGCGCCGCGCGCACTCGCAAGGTCTAGCGCCTTCTCTAAGGTGGCTTGCCAAAGGTGTTCGAGAAGTACATTGCCCCAAAGACCTACTCAAGCCCAACGCCCCCGTGCACCACAAGCCAAAACCCTAAACCCTAAACCCTAAACCCTGATTTAAGCCCCATCAACCCTAAGTCCTAAACCTAAGAAAAGGCTTTTGGATGCGTCGGGCGGCTGTCCCCGCGCCGACCTGAAAGACAAAGGGTGTCGCGGAGTCCTGGATTTTGGGTTCAAGGTGGCATTGGAGTTGAGACCCAAAACAGCCCAATACCCCTTAATTAAGGAATATTCCTTAAATCAGAATAAGGATCCCTTTGTAATTTAAGCTATATTCCTTAATTTTAAGGGGTATTGGGCTCTCTGGGGCCTTGGGGGTCTACCAGCAACTTAAGAGCTGAGGGGGTCTAGGCATATGGCAGGATAGAGATTTGCCGATGGATCCCATTTCTGTCCCGGTTTGGCACAGGATCTGGATCTAGGGGCAGGAGCCCGCATGACATACTGATGCAACTTCGTGTCCCAAACCGCAAGTCCACGTTAACCCCAGTCGCTATCACGCACTTGAACCCACTCCTTGCTGGAAAAAAAGACCTCGCCGGTCTCTGCGAAGGCACCTTTGACCATCGAACGGGGGGCTCTGGAACATGAGGCTCGCCATCACAGGTGCCCTCACCCTTGAGAGTCAAGGCCATGCTAGGCAAGCTGGAGCTCCAGTCCGAGACTGCACGTTTAACGAAAAAACCCTGAAGACTTCACTGCAGTTCCTTTTGGTGTCAGCTATCTATCTCCGACTAAGAAATTTAGCACACTTACACCAAGAAAAGTGCTCCATCGGAGGGCCTTCAGGAATGCACTTACAAGAACCCTGACTCCACGCCCAGAGGGTTGTAGACCCAGGCCCCCAGGCCTTCGCAATGGATGCTGACGTTCTCACCCTCCTGGAGTAGGCTTCACGCCAAAAGGGGCTTGTTATTTGATATGAGAAGCTGGCCATTAAATCCTGGGATCCTTGTCATGTTTCCCAAAAGCCCTCCACTTTGCGGTTCACCAGTAGGGCCGGGTTTAGGGTGTAGGGTTTGGGTTGAGGTTTAGGAATTTACACGCAGGCGTTCGAGGCGTACGCTTCACGTGCAGGGCCGTGCTTCGAGCTCAGGGCCATGGATATGCCCTCGAAACCACTTAAACCGCAACTCTCTTCAAAGGGTTTAGGGTTTAGGGTTTAGGGTTTAGGGTTTAGGGTTTAGGGCTTAGGGAACTTCAACAACATACAACATACAGGCACCTAGGCCAGCCTCACAAACCAAAGGTAACACCAAAAGCGGTCCTGTACACTCTTTGTACATCTGTGCACTTGGAGCACTGATAAACTGCTTCTTAAGCCTTCCTGGCACCAACCAAACGCACTGTCAGACTACTAAGCCGGCCCTCATAAGCAACTTCGCCACAAACTCCAAGCCCTTACAAGCCTTAAAAACTCCTCAACCCATTTCAACCCTTGGGGGCATCTGGCCTCATTGCTGCCAGCTGAAAAGGGCCTAAACCCTGAATCTTTTCAACCCTCGTCAACCTGAACCCCTCAACCCTAAATCCCTAAATCCCTAAATCCCTAAACCCTAGCCCTAAACCCTAAACCCTAAACCCTAAACCCTAAACCCTAAACCCTAAACCCTAAACCCTAAACCCTAAACCCTAAACCCCTAAACCCTGAACCCTGAACCCTAAACCCTAAACCCCTAAACACCCCCAATGGGAGTCCTGGGGCGTCGCTCTGCCGTGTCCCGGCACCCGCGTCTCCACGCGTACGGCCGGCACGCTCCGTGGCCTGCACTCCATGACCTTGGCAGACTTAGGGTTCAGGGTTTAGGGTTTATAGGGTTTAGGGTTTTAGGGTTTATGGTTTATAGGGTTTAGGGTTTTAGGTTTGTTTTTTAGGGTTTAGGGCTTTGGCACCTGCATAGCTGGAGGAACCGCTCGGCAGGAGGTGTTTTGGGTTTAGCGGGCTCTAGCACTCCGAGGATGTGGGGTTTTTAGGGTTTCGAGGGTTTATGGGGTTTGGGGTTTCTAGGTTTCCAGGGTTTATGGGGTTTCTAGGGTTTATGGGGTTTCTAGGTTTCCAGGGTTTTAGGATTTTGGGTTTTGAGGGTTTCTAGGGTTTATGGGGTTTCTAGGTTTCCAGGGTTTTCAGAGCTTGGGGGCTCTAGCGTTTCTAGGGTTTATGGGGTTGAGGGTTTGTGAAGGGTTTGTGGGGTTTGGGGTTCTAGAGTTTTTCCTAGGGGTTCTAGAGTTTCTAGCACTGAGGGTTTCCAGTTTCCAGGTTTTTTCCCTAAACCCTAAACCCTAAACCCTAAACCCTAAACCCTAGGGTTCTTAGGGCTGCCAGGGTTTAGGGGCAAGTTTGGGGTTTAGGGGTGCCGGGGAGGAACAGGGTGTGTAGTGCTTCCCAGTGATGCAGCCTTTGAGCTTAAACGAGCTTTCAGGGATGCAGTCGGTTCTAGCTTAAGTCCTATGGGAATGTTTAGTTACTACCGCTGGGGGGGGGGGGGGGTTGAGGTGTTGGGGTTTCGTTCCGGTTTGTAGTGCCAAGAGTAGCAAACGTTTAGGAACGCCAACCCTAAACCCTTTTGCAACTGGGACTTGGTGACTGCCAGAAAGGAACCCTAAACCCTAAACCCTAAACCTTAAACCCTAAACCCTAATGTATCTCAAGACCCAGGGGCGGTGACAGTCATGGTCAGGTTGGTACCAGCCAGTGGATGGTTAAAGTCCAAGCGCACGCTGTTTTCCATCCTGGGAACGGAGTGCTTGGGCCCTTTTTGGGCGATAGCGAGATGAAAAAAGCGTGGAGAACAGTCTTTGGTTTGAGAGCAAATGTGGGGGAGGGGGGGGGGGGTGTCCCGAAATTCGGGTTACCTTATTGGGGTCCTTATTATAAGGGGAATCCTACTATTTGGGGGTCTATATTAGGGGTCCCCCTATTTTCGTAAACCAGCATATTTTGCAGGTTAGTGACAAGGAGGAGCAAAGCCCATGCGGGGAGGAGCGTGTGGGTGTTGAATCAATCAGGGTCCCCCGATGCGCGCAAGCTTAGAAAGCCAAGAGGATGCAAGACAAGCAACTTATCCTCGGAGTGAGCACTCCGGCGGGTTAGTGTATGATCTCAGGGTTTATCAGCTTCGACGCTCTCCAAGGATTGCGGTAGAGATTCTATCCGTAAGGCCAGAACCCGCGAGAGGGATGCAACTGAAAGACCAGTGTGGGGGTTCATCAGCTCTGCTCGTATTGTGTCCGTTTGCCTACCTCATTGGGAGCTCCAGTATTCGCTCTCAATGCTCGCAGGTTGTTGCCTTTGCTTTGCACCTTCGTATCAACCCTTCTCCCTAAACGCAACAGGCTCTGATTTCGTCATCGAGCATCAGGGCAACCACGATGGCAGTGCTGCCCTGGACTGTCACTGGCGTACCCACCGCCAGGTCCCCAAAGTAGCCTCAGTTTTTGTAGAGACTAAACCCTAAACCCTAAACCCTAAACCCTAAACCCTAAACCCTAAACCCTAAACCCTAAACCTCTGAACCCTAAACCCTAAACCCTGAAGCTGAGAATGGACAGCTCCTGCAGACATACTTCGACCACATATACTTGGCGCGTGGTCAGTCTAGGTGTCTTTGTGAGGGTCCTTTGGCAATTCCGCATGTGATCCTGCTACGAGAAGGCATCCTGGCACCCCGAAAAAATCGGCCACCGCCCCAAGGGGCTTCGGTCGTACTCCACGACCCAGTCGGCGTTTCGCTCGCCAAAGCCAGCGTCCCCGACGAAGGGGAAGTTCTGCGGCTCCCGAAGACCCCAATTTTGTCGAGTCCCAGACGGGAAAGAATTCTAAATCCAACAGCATCAGTGCTCAGCCCTTTTGACTCTTAGAAAGTCCTGATCCACCTCTAAAACCCTGGCTACCAGGACTTCCTGACAGAACAAGCCCAACAAGCAGCCCAAAAGGTGAGAAACGGATTTAGTGGGTTGGATTTGGGGTTGGGGCACCCAGCTCAAACACAACCATGAACCCCCTACTTTACAGGGTGCTCTAGGATGATACGGAGTCCTTCATCTCGCCGACGCCCAGGCCCCTGACGTTCGCGTCCACTGCCGGAAACACGTCTCCACGACCCACCTCTGGGAATGTCAGCTGCCCAAAGGGTTCAGTTACCTCAATAGTACATACTTGGACTTGGGCCCTAAAGGCCCTAAAGCTACCACATAGGAGCCCCTTTTAAGGCCCAAGTACATCCTATTTAGGTGCATGGACCCTTAGGGCTACAGTAGCAGACATCCAGAGACTCGTGGACATTCACGACGCTGAGCCTTAAACCACCCTTCTTCACGCACCCTCGCGCATTCACAAGTCATGCCGAGTCGTGCACCCCAACGCTACAGCTTCTCGGTGGATGGGCTCAGCTTATGCTCAGGTTCGCAGGGCATGTTTCTGGCTCAACCCCTCTTGACCCGGTTCGCAAGCATCTGCCAAAGAAAACGCAGCAACTGCCCGTACATTTACATGTGATCATGGCGCATGCAGTTTAGGACGCTGGACCTCGCCCACCACCTTGTCACTCGGACTGACTCTCTCTGGGTGCTCTGGGTTAAAGCGAATGTTTCATGTACTTGGCATCAGGACCTCAAGGCTGCCTCCTCGGTTCGTAAACCCTGAACCCAAAACCGTTTTACCCTAAACTGCCCAAGCCCCGCCTTGGAAGTCGTGTTTAGGGGTTAAGGCTTTTTCTGGAGATCAGGGCTTCGTTTAGGAGGTTTAGGTCTTGGAGTGCAGGGTTTAGTGTGTAGGGTTTAAAGTTGAGGGGTTTAGGGCCAGGGGTACAGTGCGACTCCTTCGTGCCTCGAATTCCAATGTTCCATGGCCGTCGGCGACCTTGGTCTATTCATGTATACAGTACACATAAATAAAAATACCAAAACTGATATATATATATATATATGTAGTACATATATAGAATTGTATATATATATATACATATATATATATACATATATTTGTGTGTTCACCTGTTTGCAAAAGTAAATTACAACGAAGTGCACAATGAACGACAAGCAATCAGTGAGTTGGCAAGTGAACAGCATGGAGACGTAAGGGGAAGTATGCGTACAATGATATAGCGACATGTAAATGTGTAGATCTCTCTCTCTATATATATGTATATGTACATATATATGCATGCACACATGCTCTTGGGTGCAGAACCAACTATGCATGATCATGCATGTATACATATGCCTACGAAGAGAATACATCGATGCGTATGTAGCCACATGTACCTGTGTCAAGCATCTAGCAACAACTGCAGCCTCTGGCCAACAAGCTCGCACGGTCAGATATCCTTAGATAATGAGATTCTATTCCTTACGAGTTCTTCACCTTTATCGTGCATCAAGCCTACTCATCTCCATGCTTGTGGTAGGGGATAATCAGTGAGCATTCCAACCACCTTGAACCTGCAACTCCCTTTTTGCCTTAGGCCCCTAAAACCCTGAGCCCCACCCTAAACCCTAAACCCTAAATGCTAAGCCCTAAACCCTAAATCCTAAACCCTAAACCTAGATCCCTTTGGCGCCACAGAGCTGGAGTGCCATCGGCAGCGTGGTAGAGATCGTACGACAAGCGCACCATGGCACCGACCTCCACAGTTACTGTTGGTTAGCAAGGAATTAGGATTTACGGTTTAGGGTATCTAGGGCCCTATATATACCTTCTGAGGGATTATGTAGGGTACCACATTCCCCCATTCCGTACTAACCAACAGTACGGCTTTGGCTTCCGGCTGGCTTGGGTCTTGTAGGGCCAACTGGGCTTTGGGGCTCTAAGTTTTCTGGCTTTAGGGATTTTAGGGTTTCGAGATGCTCGGCGCCGGAGGACGAAATCAAGGCTTCGGAAGCCAAAGGGGAACCTGACGTCACACGCCCTCACAAGCGTAGAAATATCGATGTCGGCCCTATGTCTATGCCAGCATCTCCGGGCGCAAGCATGCCCCTATAAGACATGCATGTGCGAACGTATGTGGTGCGCATGCACGTGTGTTGGAACGCCACGTGTGTCATGAGAAATGCATTCGCAAGCAGTAGTAAAGTGGCAGGACAAATTTGCAATGATGAAGCAATTCCGTACCTACATTCAAAAGCCTTCAAGTTGAAACTAGAGATTCGAGTGACATCACCCCGGCCCCCCTCCCAAACATTGCCCTACACCCCAGGCCCAACCAAGGGATTCCGAATTCTTAGGATCGTATTCTAACAACATGGAACCCACAAAGACTGAACCGTTGTCCAAAAAATGTCCAATCAACAAAAAGAACTACAGTGCAGCACTGTAGAGTTCCCCTGTTTTACTTGGGATTTCAGAACAGAGTCCTGAGAGAACCCTAAACCCTAAACCCCTAACCCTAAACCGTAAACACTTCATAGGTTTGGGGTATCCTTAAACCCTAAACCCTAAACCCTAAAACCCTAAACCCTGAAACCCTAAACCCTAAACCCTAAACCCTAAACCCTAAACCCTAAACCCTAAACCCTAAACCCTAAACCCTACAAGAAACGGTGTATCCCGGACAGGCCTCGGCTTGGCCGCAGGAGCCAGGCAACTCCGGCTCTCCCAACCTTGCAGGGCAAGTTGTGGTGGGGTTTAGGGTTTAGGGTTTAGGGTTTAGGGTTTAGGGTTTAGGGTTTAGGGTTTAGGGTTTAGGGTTTAGGGTTTAGGGTTTAGGGTTTAGGGTTTAGGGCTTGGGGTTTGGGGTTTAGGGTTTGGGGTTTCGGGTGTAGGGTTTTGGGTTGAGGGTTTTAGGGTTTGGGATTTAGGGTTTAGGATCAGGGGAGGCAAACTTGGACCCCCATTTAAGGATGTACCCTTAAAGGTCCTTCCCCTGATATACTCCTAGTATGGCCCTTCTATTCCCTTAGAGAATCTTTCAAAGGGAAGGGGAGGGCGGGGGAGGGGGTTCCCCAAGTTGTGGTCGCTGCAACTTTCGATACGAAGCCCTTTATGTTAAATGTACCCAAACAGTAATCCTTAAACCCTAAACCCCCAAACCCTCAACCCTAAACCCCGCCCCATGACTTGCTTGGAGATTTGGCTGGGACGACAGAAGCAAAGCACAGCTCACTGGTGTATGGGACAGGGCTTAGGGATTAGGGTTTTGTCTTGCCGCCCGCCTGCCTGACTTGAAGGGCACTTAGGGTGTTTAGCGTTTACGGCTTAGGGTGCTCCAAGAGCACTTAGGGTACCTAGGGTATTCCCAGCCTTCAAGTGTCCCCAGGGCCCTATGGGATGGGCCTTGAGGGGGTTTAGGGTTTAGACCTACACTGCTTTTGTTGCTTCGATGTTCCAGACCTTGCCCGGCTGGTATGGAGCCCAAGCAGGATTGCCAGGACGGCAACGGCCACGGCGGAAGCAAGCCACCATAGCTTCATCGTCTACACGTTGAGGCGAGCTCTAACAAGTGGGCTGTGCTAGTTGTTAGGGTGCTTGTGCCATGAAGGGTCTCCGGGTGTTGAGCCCCTGAACCCTAAGGCCTCAGCCCTAAAGCAAATAGAAGCCATGGGAACTCGTGCCTCTGTTCCTTCCCAATAGAGTCGCATGCCTATCACGTGAGGATTCCAGCGTTTCCAAGCGTACCTTATACCCTACCTTTAGCTTGGGGACCAAATCAACCCTAAAATTGGGTGTCATCTACCCTAGACTGCTAGAACTCTTCCTGAGGTATATGAACCATAAGTCTTTTTTAGGGCTTCATGTAGTCCCCAAGTAAGCCACAAGCGCGTGCACAACAAGAAGATGCTGCCAGTCTGACTCCTTGCTCCAAGAGCTCTTCTCACGAGCCTGAAGCTCCCAACTTAGGGTTTAGGGTTTAGGGTTTAGAGTTTAGGGCTCGGCAGCTCCCGGCCGAGCAATCTCTCGTAGAGCCGCTGTTTCGACTCTAGAAGCAAACCCACCCACCCAGCGAATCCCAAAACATTAAGAAACGATTTAAATGTTTCATGAGCAAGCCCTGTCCCCAACCTCACTCTGTCCTCATGTGTTTTTGTTGTTTTCGGGCACGAACAACCCCCCCCCCAACCAACAAACAAAATCATGAAACTCATTTTTCTTGTCTGCCCCCAACCCACCATCGTATCGGGCACGAACAGCCAAAAAAACACCTAACCTTGGTAACCTCATGTTTTTGTTTTCGGGCACGAACCGGCCAAAAAAAATTGTTAACCTCATGTTTTTTGATTTCCCAACAGGCCCGAAACGCTCCGTAACAAAGTGGCGGGTGGCATCCTCGTACAACCGCATGAGCGCGCTTCAGACTGCAATTCGAGTGCTTGCGTCTCTTCGCTACTTCGAGCCAATCCCCAACCCACCCTAGAATCAACTAGACATTGGTCCGGGTTGACCGAGAAAACCTAGTCATGCTAACCTCATGTTGTTTTTGTTTTCCCCCAGGCCACCCTCGAACCCCTCAAGATGAGAAAGAATAAAGGGGGGGTGGGGTGTCAAAGCCCTCATCTGCCCCAGACCTAGAGTTTCGAGCCCAGAATAGGGGTCTGGGCCAGAGAGGCCCTTTCCGCACCAATAAGCCTGGGGGCTTGTTGGCGTCTTACAGGGGTCGGCAGAGGGTGCAGGGAGCTCGGGGGGGAGGGGGGGGGGGGGGGTCGAGAGGTAGGGGGGGGTTGCAAAAAATTCTGTGGCCGATGGCCACGGCTTTTTTGCCGATGGCCACGGGTTGTTTGCCAATGGCCACAGTTTTGCCAATGGCCACGGCCCCATTTAAGGTTCAAATAGAAATATCAATATAGATATATATATAAATATAAATAGAAATATAAATATAAATATAGTATATATATAAATAAATAAAATATGAATTAAAAAAAAAATATATATATATATATGTGTGAAAGAGAGGGTTTAGGGTTTAGCGCTTGTCACTTCAAGGAGGCGGTACATGTTGCCAAACAAGCCGTGGAACACCGGCGCCTGCAAAGCAAAGCAAAACTCCTTTCCGCTTCTTTTGCTGCTCCTGGGGTTCGGCCCTGGCCCTCAGCTGGGAGTAGGACCTTGCGCAAGCCTAAACCCTAAACCCGAAACCCTAAACCAGGGTTAGGGTTTGGGCGTTTGGGGTTTGGGGTCTAGGCCCAGGCTTTGGGACAAGGGCTTGTTGAGTCTTGAGGTAGTGGGCTTAGGATTTCAGGGCCCCATCTCAGGTCACTGTAGCTGCGCGCATGGATGTGGCGACTCTGTGCACGCGAGTAAGGATTGAAGACAACAAGGCTGGAGCAAGTTCGGGTCTGCGTCCTTGGGATCTTCCTGCTGCCTGCTTGTCATCTCGTACGCTCAGGAGCCAACAGAAGACTGTAATGCAAATGAGCTAGGATGATGCTTCCAGACATTTCTTCTGGCCATGGGTGCAAATAGACCGCAGCTCTCACTTTGACAACTTGTACCTCTGGTTCGGAGGCCATGGGCAGGCTTGGCACCGTGGGGACTTTCCTAATCACGAGACGACAACAGGTCAAAGCGAAACCTTCAATCTAAAGGCACGCAAGCGTGCCAACTCGGCCCAAACAACGGGAACAGAGATGGGGGTTTCCGAAATTAGGGATACTTTCCTTATAATTCGACTCTTAGGGGGGGTCAATAATTAGGGGACCCTTTATTCATAAACCCTCAAAGAGCACCGGCCCGAGCCATGAGACGGCGCACCAGATCTCGAGGTCGACCTGGCACAAAAACGGGTTGACGGGTTTTTTCGCTGCTGTTGCACAAGAATAAGAATGGTGGGCAATGTAGGGTGCAGCTGCCACAAAATGGGGGGGGGGGGGGGGGGGGGGGGACGCAAAACTGCCGGCTGCATGATGCTGCATGTTGGGCATGCGATAGGCCACTGCTCTTGTACAGACTGGCCTTTAACCAGAAACGTATAAGTTTCGGTGAGAATGCAACCCAGCAGCACGGCAGAGGGCAAGCTAGAATTGATTAGCCAGTCTTATCATGCCTTAACCTGCACATTGCTGTGGTAGATACGACCCTAAACCCTAAACCCTAAACCCTAAACTCTAGCACAAGCGTCACTTGCAGATCGCTGGCTGCACGTTGGGCGCGGGCAAAAGGTTAAAATCGGAACGGCAGCTCTACATTCTGTTGGGTGGATTCTCTAAACCATGGGCCATTTTTTTGGGTACCCTTTACATATGTGCATGAATATACATGCGAACTATACATATATATATATATATGTGTGTGTGTGTGTATGTGTATATATATATATATATGTATAAGGCTTCGTTCGTAATCTGTTCTCCCAAATAAGGGGGCCATGATTTAGAGAATCTCGCTCATGGGAATCAGCCCAGGTACTCGACAACGACAGGGCAAATGACCGTCTCCTCACAACGGACACCAGGGACGTCTGGCTCCTCTTGGCAGGAACGCTTCTCCCACCCACACTGGCCAGCGACTCTGATGAAGAACTGCTTCGCAACGTGACCGGCCCGGCTTGACCAGGACTCTCTGCCTCGGCAGCCCAGTAACCATATTCTAATAAGGGCACCCTTTTTGGGGTTGGTTACTAACCCAAACCCTAAACCCTAAACCCTAAACCCTAAGTAACAAACAAAAGGGGTAAAGGGTACCACTGGGCTACCAAGCTACAGGCTCTGGATGCGTTGATGAGGCCACTTACCATGTTGGGCCCTGGCTCGAAGGACGCGTTCACCGCCTGGCTGCTGTTACACCCCGGCAAGCGAAGCCTCTGGATCCTTAGTTGCTGAGTTCAGAAGCCCCCCCCCCCCCACCAGGGTTTAGGGTTTAGGGTTTAGGGTTTAGGGTTTACGGTTACACTTTCAGTTCTATAGGGGAATTATAGTATTCCAAAAAGTGTAAAGTCTACTCACTCAGCTTCCAAGGATCATGTAGGTTGTTCGGTTCAAGAGCCGGTGCTCGATGTCTCGCTGCCCTCCTGCAAGCATGGCCTTGTGAGCCTTGCCGCAGGTATCGTTGCGAGCCACCTGCGAGGAGTGGAGCTTCCATCGGTGGTGCACGAGCTTTCTCAGCCCAAGCTTCTTTTGAGTTGTCTTGGAAGCATCGGCCGCGGCGCTGTCGTCCACCCAAGAGACGTGGCCGGTGCGGCTGCTGACACACTCTGAGTCCATCCCCATCGAGCTCGAGTTACCCGAGTTCTCCGACATACTCGCGTTGTCCGGAGTTGAGTTGTCCCCATGGCCTCGAAACTGAAGCAGCTGGAGGCTGCAGTGTTCCTGAGCCACGCAGGCATCGTCCTTCGCCAGCGTGGCTGCCAGATCCTGCCGGGGGCCAAGCTGCTGCACGTTATGAAGATTATACCCGGATGCTGCCGAGCTTGACCCTAAACCCTAAACCCTAAACCCTAAACCCTAAACCCTAAACCCTAAACCCTAAATCCTAAACCCTAAACCCTAAACCCTAAACCCTAAACCCTAAACCCTAAACCCTAAACCCTAACCCTGGCACCCAAAAAGGGAACTAAGCTGTCTAGAGCCCCCAGCCTGTGACGTAGCTACAGGACCCAAAAGGAGAACTGCAACGCATGCACCCAAGGCTGCCATGGACCGTACCATGACGATCCGCTTCTGAATTTCGTTGCACGGCTGCGCAAATTGCTGGACACAGGGCGCTATAGGCAGGCTGAATGAAAAACATATATATATATATATGGAAATATATATATATATATATATATATATATAGAAATATATATATATATATACGGCATAGATGTACTTGAGGAGCTTCTCTTAAAGCACTGACTTGTATTGATTCCTCAAGATGGGGGGAACCTGCAAAATCGAGAATCGCGGGAAGCATGCAACACAAATCAGCATGCCAAGAAAATCACTTTACAGCTTGGAGTCCCATTACCACCACGGCAAGTACAACGACCCGGAATGCTCTGAGACTAATTATAAGAGCACTCCGGGTGGCTGTTCTTGGTAGGGTTTAGGGCCTAGGGTTTAGGGTTTAGGGTTTAGGGTTTCGGGTTTCGGGGTTTAGGGTGAGGCATCACTAGCAGAATTGCTGTACTGGACTTATGCGGCAGACTGGTAGCCCGTTCCCATGTTGGACAAGCTGCTTCTGCGCAGCCGCCATGAGCTAAGCAGCCAAACTGCATCATGAAACCAGACACCGGATATGCGAGGCTGCAAGGACATGGGGCTCTCCAGCTCTACTGCGTGCCTTCTTCCATTCGGTGTGTCCTTCTGCTATACCCCACCTTGAGGCGCTGAAGCGACGATGTGCGAACTTGAGTTTGGCAGCCGGCACGACATGCAAACAGAGGTGGTGGGGCGCTGGGCTGTTGCAGGCTTAAGGATTGCAACGCATGAGTTGCACTAAGCTGCAGGACAATGGAAAGTGTCCCTAACATCTTTGGGTACAGATTTCGATATCGGCCCTGCTAGATAGGGTAGCCAGGGGGCTTGAAGCCTTGCGAAAGCTGACGCATGACGGATGACTCGCTCTTGTTCCAGCGTCCCAGTCCAACCGGGCTCACTCAGCTCAGAAGCCCCCGTAGCCTGGATTGTGTGGGTTGTGGCTTTGCTTTGTCATCTCAATAAGGTCCCCTAAGGGGTCCATGTACATATATAGGATATACTTGGGCCTGCCTTAAAGGGGTTCCCCTAAAAGCATATGGGCCCTTTGGGGCTAAGGGGTTGGGTTGCGGGAGTACGCTTGGTTCCTGAGGTGGTTGGGGATGCAGGATATAGCGACATGCACACTCGCAATCCTAGCTGGCATGACAGTCTCTAAGCCCTAAGCCCTAAGCCCTAAGCCCTAAGCCCTCAGCCCTCAGCCCTAAGCCCTAATCCCCGAAGCTCCTTTATCTTGGTAGCTCAGCAACTACATTACAACAAGGGAACCCTTATTTTGGGGGGTGGTTTACTTATGAAAGGGAACCTAGAACCCCAAAAGGGCAACACTGGCCTATGAAGTTACAAAACACCCTAAACCCTAAACCCTAAACCCTAAACCCTAAACCCTAAACCCTAAACCCTAAACCCTAACCCTAAACCCTAAACCCTAAACCCTAAACCCTAAACCCTAAACCCTAAACCCTAAACCCTAAACCCTAAACCCTAAACCCTAAACCCTAAACCCTAACCCTAAACCCAGCTTCCTGTTCCGCAGGTCCCCGCGCCTAGGGCTGACCGGGAGTGCTCGTACGTGACCCAGAAGGTCAACTGCCATGGCCTCAAGGCTCCCGCGGTTTAGGGTTTAGGGTTTAGGGTTTAGGGTTTAGGGTTTAGGGTTAGGGCTCTCAGGGTTGAACGGCTTCCCTGGTTTGGGCTTTAAGCTTTGGTTTCGGGGTTGCCTAGGTTGCCTACACTAGGCCCACAACATTCTCCTGACTTCTGAGCAGCCGTTGTCATGCTCCAACAGGCAGCTAAAGCGAATATTGGGGTACTTGGAGGTTTCATGGTACATACTGACCAATCGTAAGCCACCCCCCCTTAAGTGCCCTAATATGTTTGCAGGTACAGTTATAAGTACAGTTATAAATGGCGAATGACCACCATGAACCTCGTCTACAGAATGCAAGGTTGAGGCTGACTGGGGGACGGCGGTGGGGTCAGGGTTCGGGCTTCCTCGGGCTATTTCTAGGATGCCTGCTGAAGCGTACTTCTTCCTGCTGCAAAAGGCCTGCACACATCTTGCGAGAACAGACCTTATACTTTCCATCGATTCGTTCCTCGCGGCCTCCTCCTTACCCCCTGCTCTGCTGAAAGGTGTAGCTGGCCATGCCATGTCGGATAGCTCCAGAGCAGAAGACGCTCCCTGATTGTAAGAGTTTCACAAGCAAAGAAGGCTTCAGCCGGAACCCTACACCCTAAACCCTCAACCCTGAACACTGAACACTTCGTGCCCATGCCTCGTGCAAGAACCCTCAGCCCGCCCTGCACACTGATTGTTAAGCTTCCGCAGCTTCTATCCACCTCTGGATCTTTTGGGGGTTTAGGGTTTAGGGTTTAGGGTTTAGGGTTTAGGGTTTAGGGTTTAGGGTTTAGGAACCTATAAGCGTCTGACCTTCGGCTGAGGATGCCCCAAGTGTGTGGAGGACTGAGGCCCGGGCCCCAGGCGTGCCCAGTTTGGGAAGAAGCCTTTCCTTGGCGCAAGGAGAACGTGGGGCCGGGGCTATCGGATTTTAGGGCTAAGGGCTGCTGGGTGCCACCTTGGGCTGGCCCAGATTCTGCACTCTTTTGCCACCAGCAACTCTGAGCAGCCAGCCAGGTACACACACACACACACACACCACATTGCAGCACTCTGGCTGCATAATGAGACGGTGCGGTTATCTCGTCAGGTGACACGTCGGATCACAGAATGATATCGAAGTGATCAGCGGCTTTCTTCAAAGCCACTGGCGCACAACTTGTGAGTGAAACTATCGCAATCTTGAAAGTATTAGGCGAAGTCTAATTAGAGGCTTTCTTCAAAGCCACTGGTGCAACACTTGTGAGTGAAACTATCGCAATCTTGAAAGTACTAGGCGAAGTCTAATTAGAGGCTTTCTTCAAAGCCACTGGCGCAAAAACTTGCGTGTGAAACTATCGTAACCTTGAAAAGATCTAGACGGAGTCTACAGCCAAAATCCTCGCAAGCTCCTGCAACTCAGGTGAGCCTGGCATTGGATCCCCGCTGTTTCAGGGCCACCAAATGTGCCCTGAAAGCAAAAGAATGGCAAAACAGGCAACTCTTCAGTACCGGCTTGGAGCCGTGAGTGCTTTCCGGTACATCTTCACGGCATCTGCAATGACACGGTCCCACGCAAACTCAGCTTCTGCATGAGCTCGTGTGGGTGCTTTTAGTCGCTCCAAGTCAGCAATGCACTCTAGCACGGCCCTCTTTGCATCTTCCATGTTCAAGGGTTCGTACAACTTCCCACGAACACCGTCACCCACAACTATGGAGATGACTGGCAAGCGGGGTGCCACGACTGCCAAGCCTGCTGCTTGTGCTTCTAAGAGAACCAGGTCGCAACCTCCCGTCACTGTAGGGTTGAACAGCATATCCGAGGAGGCGTAGACTTTCGCGAGCTCTTCCTTGCCCAGCCGACCTGTGAAGACCACGTTGCCGAAGCCATCCAGCTGACTCCGAATATCATCATCCGCTGGGCCGCTCCCCACGATCACCCAGCGGCATTTGTTCTCCAATCCATGCTCTGAAAACTTTTTGATCCTTGGTACCCCAGTAACCATATTGGTTTAGGGTTTAGGGTTTAGGGTAAGGGCACCCTTTTTGGGTTGGCTAATTTATAAGGGAACCTAACAACCAACAAAAAGGGGAAAAAGGGTGCCACTGGGCTACCAAGGATCAAATCTGGAAGCAACTTGATGTTCTTCTCGTACGCCATGCGCCCGACAAACGCAATGACAGGTAGATCCGGTCGTCCACCACTGATCCACTCTCGTGTTGCTGCCGACCGCGCTTCAGGAGTAAAATTATTGACATCACAACCTGACTTCCAGAAGAACTTGCAATCATCATCGACACCCTGTAGCCAGGGGGTCTCCTTCCTCATGGCATCATCCACCATCATGTGCGTGCTGCATAAGTTGCACATGAAGGTGCCAAACGCTCGGAGTACTGCTATTCCAATCAGCGGTCCTGGCTGAGGCAAGAACTGGACGTAGTGGTCGATGCGAGTGTGATGAGACCAAACATATGGGATATCCAACAGCCATAGCACGAAGCTTGTGAGCAACGCAATGGGACAAGTGTCGAACAAATGGACCAAGTGCGGTCGAAAGGTCAATGCTCGAAACAAAGCGGGGCTTGGCAATGTAAGTGAATGACCTGGGTGGCTGTCAAAATTATGCTCCCTTTTGGGGTACCCAAAAATATTCGGTGCCGTATTAAAATAGGGACCCAAAAAGGCAACCATGATTTTGACAACCACCCAACCTGGATAGTTACCACTCATGCCAGCTCCACGCGTCACATCCACGTCAAACAACTTGTCGGGTCCGGCCACGGAAGTGAAGACGTGCACGTCATGCCCCATCTTCTTCAACTGCTGAATCGTGTTGGTGGTGAATGTTTGTACACCATCCATGTAGGGATAAAAGCTGTCTCCGATGCACAAAATGCGGAGAGGATCACCTGGTGCAGGTTGTGGGGACTTGAAGTTTTTGCTGAGTTTCGCCAAGCCGAACTTCATCGAGAGCAGAATGACAGCACAACAGCAAAACCGCCATACATCACACAACGAAATTGCACAGAAGAGCATGGGCGCCACAGTCCACTTCAGGTGCTTGGCAAGCGGGCTCGTACTGGCAAGCTCTGATGCCATTTTGCATGCAAGAACGGCGCCACAAGCAGCCATCAAGCATGGCTTTGTGACATCGCCGAAGTAGACAAAGGCAACGAACAGGACCGCAGGCAAAGTGTAGAACACCTTCGCAGCGCAGGAACCATGTTCATATTGCAGTGAGGGTACTCTTTTTGGGGTTGATGACTTTGTAAGGGAACCTTGAAAAAAAAGTACCACTGGGCTACCAAAACACTGTCACAACGCTGGCGGAGAAAACGAGGATCAAAGGGGAGAGGGTCTCCTTGAAATGACCAGCCGCCGACATAGCCTCAACAATGGCCATCTCAAAGAACACGGTGGCGCAGTGCACCACCTTGGTAACCCAGCTAACATCCTGTAATAATGGCAACCTGAACCCTAAACCCTATAAACCCTAAACCCTAAACCCTAAAGCCGCGTTTATAAGGGAACCGGGAACCAAAGAAAAAAAAGGGGCAAAGGGTACCACTGGGCTACCAAGACACACCTAGCAGGCAGAGGCCTGGCATGGTGATCAAGATATCTCCCAGATGGAAAGGATGCCATGGCAGGCGGAGGGACATCGGGACAAGTGATCTGGGTTCTTTTGCCCGTGGCGCAAACTATACTGGGGCTTGATCCGTCCTGCGGCCCCCTTTTTGAAAGCCTGCACGTCTTGTCCACAAGGCCCCTTACATCTGCAAGAAGCAGCGGCGGAGCATGGATTGGTTTCAGACCCTCATGCGACTGGATGAAGCAGAAGCAGAACGACCCATGAACCCAGGATCCCACCCAAACACCAGGCCTTATAAACCCAAAAGCTCAGAGGCGGACCACAACGCCAGCCAACCTTCGTTCCGGACCTCACACGGAGGCGAGAGCTCAGCCCTAAACCCTAAACCCTAAAACTCCAAAGACTTCCAACTTTGGGCTGAAGCTGAGAAAAGCTGGGCACCCCACTGCATCACGCACCTTTCCAGGCGAGCATCCTAACCCTAAACCCTAAACCCTAAACCCTAAACCCTAAACCCTAAACCCTAAACCCTAAACTCCAGGCGAGCATCCTAAAGCTTTCGAACCGAAAGATCCCAACTCCCTGGTGGCTTCCCTGTGCTCCCCGAGATCATGCCGGGCCAGAATTGTTTGTGGGAGAATGAAGTCTTGGGCAGCTCTCTCCTCAAACCTGAACACCCTAAACCCTAAACCCTAAACCCTAAACCCTAAACCCTAAACCCTAAACCCTAAACCCTAAACCCACTGGCGTAGCCCCCGCGAGCGCGCCCAACCCTGCGGGCCAAACCCTGTGGGCCCTTCAGGTCCAAGCATCCCCCACGACCCTAAACCCTAAACCCTAAACCCTAAACCCTTAACCCTAAACCCTAAACCCTAAACCCCTTTTGAATGAGATCTCCCTCAAGTGCCTCCAGGCCTAAACCCTAAACCCTAAATCCTAGACCCTAAGATAGCAGATCTCTAAACCCTAAACCCTAAACCCGACGCCCTAAAACCTAAACCCCAAAACCTACACCCTAAACCCTGTGCGAGGTCTACATTTCTGCGCTCTCAGGGCTTCACGCAGCTGATGATGCCGGAAGCCTTGTGGGCTTGTGACACCGACACTATGTGAGCTTGCCAAATTACATGAGAAGCAACTTCCGTAACTTCCAGAGGCACCGACCACAGAAAATAGGGAACATAATCTTGCCTTGGGTTTAGGGTTTAGGGTCTAGGGCCTAGGGTTTAGGTCTTAGGGTTTAGGGCTTAGGATCAATGGTGCTGGGCCCTTCTCGGCTGCTTTCAGGGTACCTTGGCTTCAACACTGCATGCCTTGGGATGCTCCCCGCTTTTACTAACTGTCCTTCAGAGGGATGATAATCGGGGGGTACTGTAGTCCCTACTACGTACTGTTTGTTGACTTTCAAAAACTGGCTAACATGGGAGCTGAGGAGGCTACACCAACCCTGAAGACCGAATGAACACTGATAGGGTTTATGGTTTATATTCCTTCATCGGGTAGGAATTCTCGTAGTAGAGTGTATATTCTGAACCCAAGTTTTGGGTTCCTTTGGTTCCCATTGAAGATGCTTCACAAGTCTGTAAGTGGGAGGACGCTGCTTGCCTGCCGGGCCATGATTCGGCTCTTGACAACATCCGCTGGCGTTGCGCACACTGACCTGTCATGGTCAGACTTGCAGAGAACCGATCTTTCTTGAGCTTGCTATAGATGGTAAGCTCATGCAGCGCGCAAAGGCTGCAAGACAAGACCTTTGCAACTGAGAACTGAGACAAGCATTTGCCGGGCATTCATTCGTTCAGCCAGTGAGGCCTGCAACACATCTCCACGCACTCCGTAGGCTCTTTCGCTGTAAGTGTGCTTTACACCCTTTTGCCTAAACCCTAAACCCTAAACCCTAAACCCTAAACCCTAAACCCTAAACCCTAAACCCTAAACCCTAAACCCTAAACCCTAAACCCTAAACCCTAAACCCTAAACTCTAAACCCTAAACCCTAAACTAAACCCCAAACCTGCTTTCGAAAACCAGACACCCAGGGGAAAACTCGAGGGTCTGGCGCCACGAAGCCGGAGCAAAAGGCGCTGAGCGTGTGTACCAGGACGCCTGCCGACGTTTCGGTAGGTTGCCCACATGTCAAGGAACAGAAGGCACAGCTCAATTACAAACAAACATATATGTATATATATAAATATAAATATAAATAAATATATATATATATGATATATATATGATATATATATATATATGATATATATATATATATCCAACAGATCTTCAGAACTTCAAGCCTTGCTTCAGTCTCCGAGACTTTTTCTTGGTTCGAGCCGGTGCCCTATACATGCCTGCAGCCCCTCAAACCGTCTTCGACGCATGGACGAAGGGCGGCGAAAGCATCGAGACAGCATCATGCATGAGGCTCCATGGGATAAGGTATGCTAAGCGCTCGCTGACACCACCATTTTTGAAGCCCTGAATCCTGTACACCCAAAAACCTGGACTCCCAAACCCCCAATAGTTGAACCTCCAAATCCTGCACCAAGAAGTCTACCCAAAACCCTACAAAAACTC